TCTGAGAAGAGACAGCAAAGTGTCATCTCAGAAAAGCATCTTCAGTGAGGCAGAATGGCACGCAGCCGACGAAAAACCTTGGTGTGGAAAAAATTAGTGACGAAGCTCAAAAGAAAAGGATAAAAAAAAGGAAAAAAATTAATATATTTATCAGGGGGCAACAGCAGGCTCATAGTATTATTGTTGTATTTATTTTGAAAATATTCACTTACCCAGCTCGGATACGTTGTCTTAATACTACAGCACCACTTTGGGGGGGATGATAGTAATTAGCAAGTTAGTTTACTCGCTTTTTCATTTATACCTCCTGACAGAAAAGCACAACGACCATTTCGATAACGAGCGCGTAGCCGACAGCGGCTCAGCGACTCTGCTCGGTCAGTGCGGTGCCTCTCCCGACGGCGTCAGAGGTCTTTCAGGTCGAACGTGCACGGACTATTAATTGCTGGCCCTTGGCCGCAGCCGTTCGGAGTCGGTGCTGATGCTGATCGGCCGGACAGGCTGGGAGACGCCGCACTGCCGGCCCGCGAAGCCCATCCTGGGTTATTTCTCCAGTTCAGCACTTTTCAACAGCACCGCGTTTACTAACAGTAAAACAGTTACAGTCAAACGCCTTCCCCTGTAAAGGGAAGGCTGCATCAGCAAACTGCCGGAGCCGAACACAGTAACTCCTTGCAGCTCTCACCGTGCCGCCCTGCCAAGCACACAATTACTGCTTCACTGGGAAGGGCAAACGAAAAAAACTGAAAACTTGAGCACATCAGGCAGCCTCCACCATACCTGAGATGGTTTTCTAAGATTTAGTGTTTATAAAATCACATGATGCATGTGTGCCGCGCTGTATGTGCATTGATGTGTTTGCATGTATTTTTAATCTCTGTAACACAAACAGCAGAACTGACTTATTTCTCTGAAGGCTTGGAAAGCTAATAAAATTAGAACAAGTCTGAAAACTCAGCAATTCATTAGAAAAAAGAGGTTTATACCATTTAAAAAATTTTATCATATTACAGCATTGTGGGGTAGAAGATGGCCAATACTGCCAGCTGGAGTTCCAGGTGTTGCCTCTGAGTGTTGACATTCCCAGGTGCACCCAGCACGTTCCGATTTCAGAGCTTCCCAGCCACCTTGGCTCCATCCCAGAACAAGGACTAACACAGCACCTCAGCTCAAACAGGTTTCACGAGATGCACCATAAATGATAGAATTGCGGAACAGTTTGGGTTGGAAGGGACCTTAAAGACCATCTAGTTCCACCCCCCCTGCCATGGGCAGGGACACCTTCCACCAGACCAGGTTGCTCAAAGCCCCATCCAGCCTGGCCTTGAACACTTCCAGGGATGGGGCATCCACAGCTTCTCTGGGCAACCTGTGCCAGCGCCTCACCACCCTCACAGTGAAGAACTTCTACCTTATATCTGACCTAAATCTCCCCTCTTTCAGCTTAAAGCTATTACCCCTTGTCCTATCACTACATGCCCTTGTAAAAAGTCCCTCTCCAGCTTTCCTGTAGCCCCCCTTTAGGTACTGGAAAGCCACAGTAAGGTCTCCCCAGAGCTTCCCCTTCTCCAGGCTGAACCACCCCAGCTCTCTTGCCCTGTCTCCCACAGAAGAGGCATTCCAGCCCTCTGATGCCCTCAGGTGCATCTCGTCAGATCACACGGACCTATGTATGTTGAAGTTCCTCAGGTGGTCACGAATCTGATCTCCTGCAATGGGAGGGACTTCATTCCTCCAGTCCCTGCCTTGAGTTTTAAGAGCTTGAGAGATGCAGGAAGAGAGATTACCACCGAAAACCGAAGCAAAAAAATGGTTGAGTACAATCACGCAATACATTTTCTGGTTGTCAGCAAGCCAGCTCAACGAGCCTCACGTCAGCGAAGCCTCAACTTCAAATGCCTGGACCTGACTTTAGTCCAAATTCTTTCCAGAGAACGATAAGATAACAAAAATCCTTTACACAATCAAGGACATGAAACAATTTCTCCTTCATCTACGTACATTTTCCCAGATTTAACTACTTCCATGCGTGCTCGGGAACGCTGCTTTAGAAATGCTCTTTGCAAGAGCGCCTTTGGCTAGCATCGCTTGAGAAACATCCTCTCTCCCATCAAACGATGCCACAGCTTGAATTTGGCATGATTTCCCCAGTGACCCATCGCACCTGCGGTCACTGCACTGTAGGAAAAGAGGAGCAATGATATTAGACATAACTTAATTAAACATCCTGTAATCTGGATAAAGCAGCAATATTCGTATGTAACAGAGAAGCACTGATCAAAATACAGGTTATTTCCCTGTTCCTGTATCAAAAGCAGGCTGCTCACCTAACTGTTTTAATTAAATATTCTTTAAAGGAAGACAAAGCATTCTAATGACATAAAACAAAAGGAAACTGTGCAATCCCTACAGCAACAAATTGTACCTGAATCAGGTGGCAAAACTGCTCTGCAAGCAGCAGGACAGCACCTAACCACACCACCAGGTTGTGGGGCTAGCAAACAGAAGAGCAAAGAATAAATAGGATGCAAACAATTTTTTTTTTTGCTGTATATGTTCAACCCCAATTGTTTCACTCGCAATGATTTTGGCTGAAAGATTTTTATTCAGTGTAACATTAGAATAATTTATTTTAAAATTAAACTTCAAAAGTTTTCACTGAATTGTTTTGTGGTTTCAGCCTGAAGTCAGGGAAATCCCCAGCTGACCCCAAACTATTTTCAGCAAATAATTTTATAAAGATATTTCCATTGACCCAAATTCCATCCAAGGCATTAGATTGACACATACAAAATAGAGCTAATGTGAATTCACATTTTATTTTTATGCAGTTACCCAATTTGGATAAATTAAGTTCTTTTGAAACTAAGCAGCATGTTGAGAAAAGGAAGTTGACTTTAGTTTGAACCACAATTAGATGCTTAATTTGCTATTAGGAATTGGCAGGCATTTTTCATCAGGGAAATGGAAATTAGATTTGACCAATGGATATGGTCATATGCTGTAGAGACATTCCTGGAAGATCTCAGAGTTACAAATGTGATTAATAAACGTACCCATAAATTTTATGTGGAAAAAACTGACATGAGGAGTCACACAAGACTTGAAACACAAGACCTGGTCTTCCTGCAACGGACAATACCTTCTCTGAGCACAGACAACTGTACCTGAAGACGATTGTGAAGACACAGGGGTTTTTTGGGCGACTGCACACTTTCAGGATACTTGCCTCCTTACAAAATGAGATCTGGCAGAAATCTGGAGAAACACATGTATGTGCGATGTTGTAAAAACTTCACAGCCCACTCTGCAAACTGGAAGTTGCCTACCACCAGCCTGACCAGCGAAGTCCTTGGGGAAAACGTGCTCCAACGATTCCAGCACTTCTCAATCCCTGACTGCTGTTACAGCTCGTGAATGAAAGGAGCAGACCTAGAGCTGCGCTTGCAGTTTTCCACTCTCAATGTTCAATTCTGTGATTAAAGAACATAACTTTAAGTGGGTATATTGTAAAAACCTGACGACTTCTCTCCAAAGCATCACTGCTTGACTTACCTCGGGCCAGTTGTTCGGTTCGGTTCCCCACGCGGCTGCCCAAGCCCTGGGTCTGCACAACACAAAGGGGGCAAGAGGACGCTGCTGCAGATGAGGTGGTGCTGAAGTCGCTTCTTTCAGAGCCACTGTCTGCATCTGACAGTTTATGTTATGTGAAATGATGATCTCGGTTTCAGAACTCCTTGCTAAACGGCAAGAAAATCTTTGCATTTACTAAGCATGCTTCAAGTATGTTTTTTGGTGCAGGAGTCCTCTTGCTTCGATAAAATCCCATCTATTCTTACGTAGCTTGTACGAAGCGCTGCCTGAGCTACAGCCCCATGACATACCACAAACTCTTCAAAACATCATTTCAGAAGAACAAACTCAATGTAAACAGACAGACACCAATTCTAAATTACAACACTTTATTGCAGCATTGGCAAAGGTCAGATTTCTGAAGCTGGTGAAGATCGGGCGGCATTTCTGTATGAAATGTTACAATTTTACAAGTCTCTCTTCCTACATGCAGAAACCAAAACCAGTGGTAAAAAGGATTTTAAAAGAGCTAGAAAAAAGAATTAGTAGTAACATACAGATGAGCTCTTTAACTCAATTAACTACCCTCTACCTGAAAGCAAACAAAAACCTATGCTAATAAATAACAGATTGTCAGAAACAGAACAAGAAACCTCATTTCTACTTAAAAAAAAAAATTCTACCTGTTTCCAGACTTAAATCTTTTTTCTTTTTTTTTTTTTTTAACTTTTTTTTTTTTGTTTCAATAGACACAGAGGCTTATCAACCCATGAAGATCAACAAAATATTTGGATCCACTCCTTGACATCCTCCTGTTATGCTGACTGGCACATTTTGGTTTTCAATGATACATACAATGGGCTCAACTATATCCCTGTCCTTAGGCTGGTGTCAGGCTGTTCCAAGCAGTACGAGTCAACACCCTGTGTTAATCAACTTCACATTCTATTTTAAACCTTAACAGACATTTTGCCTCCTTGGCTCTCAAGTTTTTCACCCCTCCCCACTCCCCACCCTCTCTTTCTTGCTTGTCTGGCAGCAAAAGGCTATTCCTTAACCAAAAACCTTCTCGCTGAGGAGTGTTTGAGAAGAAGTTATCCCACTTGTCAGGGTTTTCTTTTAGATTTCACTGTTTGCTCTATGTTTTTCTACTATAGACTTGCAGCCCCCAAAGAATACCCTTCCAACACAAAATGCTCGATTCAGAGATAACGTAACTTGCGTCATTTAGAACTTTGTTCTCCCACACACTGAGCTGTCAAAGACCTTTTCCATTCCAGTGTAATCCATCTGAATTTCAGGTTGGTCTTTGTTTTCGCCAAGCTGCTCACTGGTTAAGTTAACCATCTCATTCATTTACTTCTGCTCTTATGAGAAAATTAACCCTCAACGCAGTTCCCATAACAAAAAGCTTTTTTTTTTTTTTCTTTTTTTTTTTTTGGTAGGCCAGACTGGAAGCTTCCACTTGTTCTCTGTGGGGTTGAGGGGGGAAGAAGGGAGGCTGTTATTTCTGCCCCACGGCCCCAGCCTGTCCCAGGTTTCGATTTTGAACGCTCTAGACTGACATGCTGAGATGTGTCCACTGCTCTCATTTAATCGCTGGAGGACTCCACTATCCACAACATCAGAGATACAGGACCTAATGAAATGACACTTGCTGCTGGATCAACGTCTCCTAAGAACAGAAAGGAAAAAAAAAGTTTAATGTGAGATATTCAATACCGTGTGGGTTAGCAACCACTGGAATCAGCTGCTAGTGATTTTGATACCCGTTTAACCTCTATATATTAAAGTTACATATTTCTATTATCTGCACAAATTTTAAAAAAGACCACATCAGACAAAAGAAGGTACATAATCTATATCAGAAAAAGTCCCCTATGCAATCTCAGCAGATAAATCTAAAATTGTTCAGAAATAGACAGCGGCCTTATCCTCCCAGATGAGATGCTAAGCTACTTAAGTGCACAGCTAATTTGTGAATTTGTTGAAATACAATTGGTTTTAAACAGCATTCATTTTTTGTGCAGTTTCGTCATGTTTAGAAGCACTGCAGAAATGCTAGAGGGCTTTCTAGAGTCAGATAGTTGTTTAGAACATTTTTAGAGAATTGACAGTTGTATCAAAATCTCTGACCACCCCTTGTTCATGAAAAACACGTCTCTACCCAGAAAAAGCCACATTTAATTCTCTTACGAACACAAGTATGGATTGAAAAACTACACCAATTTGCAGACATGTGATTCAACAAGACCAGAGTAATCCAGCAGTAATGCTAATTTAATATCACTAACTTCAGCACAACTGTCAAGCTACTGTATCCGGGCTGGTTTTCAGTTGCTTTGCAGACTGCAAATTAAGATTTAGTAGTACAAAACAAAGTGAAAATCAGACATCTACAATTACACAAAAACTCCAGGGCTACACACCCAAGTCTTTTACCATGTAATCAAAACAGTTCATGTTTCTTTACATTAGTGCACAAACCTCACGCATTTGCTGAACAGTAATTTAATCTAAACCTAGTTTTTACTGAAAATCTTGCAAGAAAAATATTACAAGTATGTTAAACTGGACACAGTAACTTTTGTATTTCTTGTACCAGATAAAACTTTCACAGTAATTCTGTATTCTTATGTATTGCTTTGTTTTGTTATCCACTATCTGTGTATTTTACATAAACACTGTATATTTTTGTCAGGAAGTACTGAGCTGATGCATCACTAGAACTTACTGCAGCATCACTTCTCTTACTTGGTTTTAACCATCTTTTAGTGTTGTGTAAGACAACATTCCAATCTTTGTGGCACACTCAATATCAGGAACATCGGTTATGTGGTTGCAAAAGAAAGGAACTATAATTTTAACATATTTAGTAGAATGAGATTTCATTTGCAGAATGTTACAACTGAGAAGAAACTTCAAACATCAATGAATTGCAGAATTGTGCTTTTACCTCTCCATCTCCTTTAAAAAATTAATTCTACCATTGGTGGGGAGGGAAGGAGAAGGGCTAGGACTAGCTGCATGTCTCTAACTTCATAAAAACTACTCTCATCCAAAACAGCAGCTGCCATGGCATGTTGGTGGCAGATAAGGCAGAGTACGCAGTGTTTCAGTGGTTTAGGGCAAGATGCTGCTGGTAAAAATCTTAGCAGCAGTTCTTCCAAAAAGAGGTATTTCACACAACATTTCTCTCCAAATTAGTAAACTTGATCCAACCCCGTATTTGGCAAGATCAAACTTTGCAGTAGCTGTAATTAAAGACATCTTGAACTGTATGTGTAAAATGAATCAATTTTTTGCAACAACTCCCCCCACTTCCCTTCCCTACTATCAACACAGTAATTAATTTGTATAAAAATCTTATAGTCATCTTTTCAACACCACTGCTTAAGTATTAATACTGCCTACATACTCCATGTGCTAGAGAAACACACCGATACACTTTTACCTAACTATGGCTACAGTAGAAAACTGGAACATGTAAAGATGCACAGAAACATTATACATAGTATAGGCTATCAAATAATCACAAATCCATTGCAGGTGTGAAGTTGGGAGAACTAAGTCAGCAAGAAAACATTATGGCTTAAATTGAAACATGCCCAGGACAATGTATGAAATCAAGTCCCTTCTGCACATTGTTGACATCAAAAAAATTCTGAGTATTTCTTAACTTGTGAGATCTTTGAAATTAAATTTCACGCTTCTCCCTAATACCTTCATGTCCCTCCATCAATCCACAATACTCTATGCACTTCTGGAGTAATGTATTTCTTCACAAATTTCAGGAACCTTCCTTCTCATCCAAACACCTCCTCTCAAAACTCACTTGCTGCTTTGCTTTTCATGACTAATCTCAGCTTTGGTGATCCCTGTTCTCTCTCCCCTAATCACATCAACCAAGAACAGGAACATGAAATAGAAACACAATGAACACCTGGAATTTATTTTTCTGTTTTAAATATAATGCTCCTTCATGAACAGTTCTGTGTGTGCCTTATTCTGCTGAATGCGTTTTCTTGCTTTCAGATGCATGAGCTTTAGAGGGGGAGGCCAGTTCTTAAAGAGGAAACAGCATCTGAAGTTCAAACTCCTGCTCTGAACTGTTGCCTGCATGAACAGCAGAGATAATTTACAGAGACCGATCTTTGCTTTCAGCTCTCCTCCCACAAAAGTGGCCTTTGAGAATTAACAGTATGTATATATTCCTGTATACTGGCAAGAGAAGAAAAATACTGGAGAGTACCAACTTAAGTTCTGGGAAACTTAAATTCAAGTACCTCTCATGCCACAGCTTCTTTCTTGTTTCATAGATCTATGGAATTGGACAAAATATCACTTGTCTTCCACATGGGAGTGTGTGTGTTTATGTATCAGACCATGAGGTGACTTGATTCCACCATAACGAATGCAGTAACAGAGATTACAGACATATTGTACCTTAATAGGGGCTGGAGAGAAATTTCAACAAATGTAAAGGTGTTTAGAGTCATTCTGAACACATTACTACTGCTGGGGTGACTAAGTCGTCGACAGCAAAATTGGAAATTACATTCTGTAGAATGTTAACATAGCCATTTTGTATTGAAAAAAGTGTAGCACTAGATTTAAATAGCTATTATCAATTTAGCTTTGCAAGAATATATTCTCTGGAACAATCACATTTCAGAACATGTGTTTCTGGACTAATAAAATACTAAGGTGCCCTGGTCATTTCCTAACGAATCTGAATTATCAACTTCCATACTGTAAACACCACAGATTCAAATAATCCACAAAACCTAGACTCACCTAAGTAAGAGAATCTTAAGCTGTGCAAAAGCAAAGTATTCTGACAAAATCAAGTCAAAGTCATAGCATGCAAAGTGGGCTCTTATCAGGAAGGTGTTTGAGGATTGGTAGGTAGTTTCCAGAGGGCTACAAAGCTGCAGGGGGTTTTCTTATTATTTTGTATTGAAACAACTTGTTTAAACAAAGAGTCTTTATAAATGAGTATACTAATAACTAAAATCTTGCATTCATTTCCCTCTAAACTATAACTGTGATCAGGTCTCTCTTCACCTTTGCTGTATGGGTTAGACTTGCACCTACAATTGCAGAGCCCCACAAGCACCATAGACAAAACACCTGAGGAGCTGGCTTTTCTTATTCTTTCCTATTCAATTCCAGTGCAGTCCACCAAAAGAAGCTGCAGGTTTTGGACACCTCCCCCCCCCGCCCCCCTTCATATTCCTAACCTGGGCTTTCCTCCCATAAAACAGCTGAAAAGAGAGGTTGGAATTTCTCTGCTGAGTTTCAGTGGTTTTCATGGAAGGCTACACTAGCATGTGTATGTATTGGGGAAAAGAATGTAGTACAGAATCAAGAATGACAACTAAGAAAAGGTCAAGATTAAAATACTGGAGAAAAAGGTGAACTAAGCTAGCACACAAATAAAGCACTGAATTTTTTAGTATTTATATCTAGAAAGTGAAGATGGGAACCATTTCATCATAAAAATCTCTGAAGCAACTGTAAAATATTACTGCTAAACTAATGGCCTCTCAATTTTTTTTGAAAAGAATACAAGAGATCGTTGAAAATGACAACTAAAGATTTCAAAAGCAGCATGATGAACCAAGGGATAGATTTGTCAGTTCAAGACAGTGCCACACCAACACCCAAAAGTCTATCTGCTTTGAGAAAATGGCAATGATAGTCTGTGACAATCAGCTAGGCTGAGGCTAACAGAGAAATTGATTTAGGCTGCCCAAGACTTCTGGTATGTCAGTCAGAAGTGAATTCAAAGCTTCAAAATATAATATTGGTCAATACATCAACTATATAGCAGGTGATGTATGAAATGTGTTTGTCCAGTAGCTGAAACAGGATTTCCTGTTAAATTGACATTTTTCCTTATTATCTATACTCCGATTTTCCAGCATTAAATACTCTTTATTATGAGAATATTTAGCTAATAAAATCCTAGCATCCTGTTATTACCTTTATGCTTCATTTTTCTTTATTAAATGGGTTAAAGAGAAATAAGAGTCAGATGCAAATAGGAGACATGAAATTACCAATTAACTTGAATATGATTTAATTTGTCAGTTAACATCTGCATCCCAATGGGCCTTTTGACACAGACAGGTCCTCTTTCTTTACTATACTTTCAAAACAGCAGTAAGTTTTGAGGTTATTGCTTTTAATAAGGAGAGGTTTAACAAGTTAAACTTGGTAAGGTCCACTTCTCTATAGTCAAAATTTCTCACTTAAGTTCTTTTTTTCTTTCTTGGGAATCAATGTTTTTAAATAGATTTCATAAAATATGGTTATTTACATTTCACCTTATAAGCAAGCCATTTAATAGATCTCAATCCTCTTTAAACACAGGAAAAACACTTTTTTGAAGTGAGAAACTGTTCTCCAGAACTGTAAAATAATATTTTCATGACAATCCCATCACTGAAAAAAGTTACTTTTGTAAATCTCGTGTTTCCTGAAGGTATCAGTTTAACAGCTTGATAGCCAAAGTCCTCTTTTAATACATAAATGCTATGGAACTGGAGGCAAGAGTGAAAACTGTTGCCTTCCCAGTTCTGCTGAAGCAAATCAAGGAACCCTACTTTTAATGGAGTCACAGTACATTATCTTTAAGACCAGTAAGCGTTAAATGTACAAGTCCCAAAAACAATCTCCTCCTTGCAGGATGAGCAGGCCTTAAAACCTGAGGCTATACAAGCAGGCGATTACAAATAAACAGCAATAAACTCCAATTTTTGATCCAGCATTTTGCGCACATTAAATAATAAGAAATCTGACAAAGCCTGTAAATCTCATTTAATTCAATACAGAAAAAGGACATTAATAGATAACAAGTAAACACTGCAAAAGATTTCTCTCTTTTTTTTAAAGAAAATGCATGCTGCATCGCCACAGCCACTAATTCATTCTTCCATTTACTGTGGGTTTATCACAGGCAAAAGAGGTGACACATTTGTGGGTGGTTTTGGTTTTTTTTGGTTTGTTTTGGTTTAGCACCCCACTAGACCAAAACAGAATCACAGAAAAATTTAGGTTCAAAGGGCCCTATGGAAGTCATCTAATCCAGATCCTGCTGTGACAGCAGGGCTAACTGCAAAGCAAGATCCAGTTGTTCAAGGCCAAAAACATACAACAGAACCCAGTGCTGCCTTCATTAATTTTTGAATCATCCCTTATGATAGGCAGCTTTGGATTCAACTTTCTGAAAGATGTTTGAAACATGGTGCTTCAGACATGTTTAGCAACACAAAAGTAAAGGTAAAAACACCAAATCGATTCCTCTACTCTTAACACTACTTGAAATGCAATTAAGTCCTCATCCCAACCTTATCAGAACCTGTCAGATTGTACGTTACAATGGCATCAACCAGGAGATTTACTTGCTCAGATTATCTCTAACCTCAGGAAATTTAAAATAAAAAGTTGCATACCTTAAAGAAAGTAGCATACATTATATTATTTCCAATAAATTTGAATTACTATTGCAAGAAAATAATATATCAGTCATCTTCATACACAAAGAAGAAACAACCCAACTCAGCTCACTCATCACATAAGCGATAACATCTGTAATTACACAAACTGGTTCTATCATGTAGGAAAGCAAAAACTTCTCCAAACAGGTACTAAAATTAATAGCTCAGTTCCCATTTGCTCTCAGCAAATAGGCAGATACTCTAGTGTCCTCAGAGTCCATGGGGTAACTTCTTAACTAAAACATGAGGGTAGTCTGGGCATAGAGACTGCTGTTCACCCTTCAAAGTCAGAAGACAATCTTCAATATACGCTATAAATCAGAAGCTCTAAAAACATAGGCGAGAGACAATCTATAACAGAAGTGGTAAGCCATTGGTGGACCCACAATCTCCAGTAAAATAAATCTCTGCTTAAATATCTTTCAGTGGGGGTTAAGAAAAATAACATTCCCTTACTACAGGCTAAGATGGCTCAACTGAGGCATGACTGCAAGCCTGAGCATTGCACTATACAACAAATAAAATATGCCTGCTGAAACAAACTTCTTGGTCCCTGCTCTAAGGAGCTTACAGATTAAAAGGAACAAAGAGGAAATTACATAATACAAAACTACATGGGAATTGCAAGTGCATGGCTCAGTTATTTGAACAAGAAAACACTACTTAAACCGTTCACTGGACAATGTCTGACCTAGTTTACAGCAAAGTCCTAAACTACATTTTCCCTAAAACACTTGAAAATAAAAAGCTTTCAAGAGAACCACATTAAAAAAATCTGCAAATATCACATCTACTGGTCTGGCTGCTATGTTTAAAGAATAACTGCAGTGTGCTCCTCATACATGTTGCAAAGCACTTGGGAGAAATGACCAGTTGTTTATGAAACACCTGCAAGCATTACAGCAATTCACTGTAACTGAATAGTTTGTATTTCTATGACAGTATTAGGCCAGTGATACAAAAAAGCTAAACACACAGCACTGCTCATTTTATTGAGTTATATCTGGTTAATTAAAAAAAAAAAAAATTACTTTAAAATGCAGTCTGTTTTCAAAAGAGTTTTTTTTTTTTATACAAGCAGTATCTGTATAGGATCTCAGTGGAGTGACTGACCATCAGGAAGTTATAAAATGCCTATAAAGACATATCAGAAACAAGTTGGTAGTGTTACTGTAACATAGGATTATTACATTAGCTTATTTCTAGTTTAGAAAGACAGACCCATTAGCAGGTAAACTCTCCCTTCCCACTTGCTGCTCCCATCTATCCACCTCCAAAATTAACTTGCAAAGAAAAGAGAAACATGAAAGCCATCTGCATTTCACCTGAAACTCTGTCTATTCAAATTTGCGCTGCAGGGTTAATTTAATGGTTTATTCTCAAGCTTACTCCAAGTGAGAAGAGACACATGGAGATATATTAAAGCTGTAGAATGACTATTAGGCAATCCAGAATGGCTCTTTTCATGTTAATACTGCTTTTGGTATGCTCTTGCACACCATAAATCAAAGGTTCTCCTCCCCCCTCCCCACCTTTATTTTCTTTCCATTCAGGGCTTCAAATACAGAGGTATAGCTCACAAATTCACCAAACTGAAAGAGCACAACAGAATTTCTCTAGATATTTTTGAGTATCCTCTGCCCCCTCTCATTGAGAAATCAACTTGCATCTTTTCCCCTATAAAAAGAGGCTCAGACTACCAGCCATTTCAGAACTGAAAAAATAATCCTCTGGCTTCCAAGCCTCTGTCAAGGATGTATTTATGGACGCTGTGTTAGAAGCACAAAACACTGCTCCGTATTTTAACAGAATACTTTAGAATGGAAACTACTAACAAATGCACTTGCACTACACAGATCATTATCTCTTTCAATTATGAAGCTAATTACTTGCCTAGAACCAGAATTACCACATTTAAAGGAAGATTGTCCTACCTCCCACCAGTTTTAAAGATTAGATCTGCATTAGGTGCTCCCTTCGGATGCTGGTAACGAGGCCGCCGTTCACGATTAGTATTTGCTGGAGCTGGACGCTGTGCCAGAGACTGCAACATTTCTGTAATTTTGTACAGAAGAAAGTTAAATACGTTTATCTATGCATCTTTTTAAAGAGGAATTTACACAAGCACATTTCACTGACATGTAGTAAAAGAGACACCTTATTTACACTTTGCTATACTTTAGGGTTAACACTCCTCAAGTTATTCCACAATAGCTATTTTTAAAAAAGTTACTAAATTGCATAGACAGCTTTGACAAATCCAAGCTACCCGGTAATATGAACTTGCATTTCCAGATGTTCTTACAGAAGGAACTGCCAGCAATGGTTTTCATCAGAGGTGCTTAAAGAAAGGAGCTGTGACCTTTTCTTTCTAAGCATATCAACCACCACTTTCTTTATCAATGATCAGGGACAAAGCTTCACAGCAGTATGAGAAGCCACAACATTAAACTACCCTGAAATAGTAACAATTGGACAATGTTGCTGCCAATTAAAGACCCAGCAAGAAACCTGTCCTAAAATTAGGCATTGAGAAGTCAGGTATTTAAGTCTAAGCTAACCATAATAGGATCCTTTTACAGAGCAGACAGGCACCTGAAGAGAGTGACTCAGCTGACCTACATTACACCAGCTGTCCCATGGATGGAGTTTTTCACTTTATTATCAGTGGGAAAAAAATAGGTGGGTGCAGAAAGAAGCCTACACTAACCAGTTTAGCACTGGACATACAACTTTTGGGCAGTTCAAGCTAGGTTAAGTACTGTATTTTGGCATTCGGTAAAACTTAATTTCTAAAATTTAATTTCATTTTTTAAATAATAAAAAATTCTCTTTACCAGGCTAAGTTAATGGTTATTAAGTACCCAATATAATTACAAATACATCATAGGAACCTCCACATAACCTCTGCCTGTATGTTAGTACATCTAATGGAAAGTATTTCCGACAGTCCACCTGTGCAAGAATCTACATTACTCAGCAAACAGACAGATGGAATAAATGAAGGGGAAAAGAGGAATAAGCTGTTAAGCAGATTATGTTTGAAAGTCTGCTGTCTGGTTCCCTAATCTCTGGTAATCTCACTGGAGACACATACCCATCATCTGCTAGAAACAAACTTCCACTACTCTCACAATGACTTGCACAGGGCAAAACTAGAGACTAATGAGATTCTCTCACCATTTACAAAATGCACATGAAGCTTTCAGCAAGGTATCCACCCAATCTTTGAGAAACTGGGAAACTATGAATGATTTAATATACAATATTGGTATCAAGAGTTAATAAAACATGTATTCACGCTCTGTATACTCCTCTATCAACACCTGGAAAAGGCAAAGAAAGCCATTCAACACACTGACAGTCCATTTTTGTAAACATCATGAAATGGCATCCTTCAAAACAATTCTGTATGCCAGGAGAGATCTCTGTTGGCAATGACAAGACCCAGGAAGAAAATAAGAAGAGATTATGGTACATTGCCAGCCAGGTGCTAGAAGCAAGCAATGAACAAGCACGTGTGTGCATGCCTGTCTCTCCTGTTTTCCACGTTGTAGGTGAAAAAATATTGGGGTTTTTGAAAAGCTAGTAACTGAGAAGTTGAGTAATTGGGAAGGTAACAGAAGGAAGAAATGTCATGGGAGCACAATGTATTAGCTAGGCCAAAGGCATGTCACTCATCTTTGGTTTTAGTGAAGAAAAAAAATAATCTACGCAGGAAAACACCAGTCTAAATTAGAGAGTCACCCAGTTCTTAATACTTCTTTAAATTAAAAACGTTTGTAATACTAGTAAACATTGCTGAAGTATTAAATAATTATCTGATACTACTTTGAAGTACATCAGTGAACTTTCATCTGTTAGCTACCCTGTACAGATGAAAACAACCCACAAATGTACATGCCAATGTTAGGACAATCCTGAGGCATTCTTCCAGAAATTTTGAGACTTATTCCTCCCTTGGTAACTTCAAAGGCTGAAACAGAAATTTAAAACCAACTCTTTCTTTCAATGGGTACGTACCAACTTGTTACAGGCAAGCTGACTCTTTTCAGTAACAATCAACTGCACAAATCTACATAAAAAAAATAGTTCCAAAGAGGAATGTAATTCGGCCTGTTTAACTTAACCTGAATAAAAGGTCCTTTTTAGTTTGGTTTAACTGTGTATATTACCCAGGTTAATAAAAAGAGTCAACAGGTGTTTTAAAAATGGATGTGAATTACGGAAAACCCTCTTTCTTCTGTGTTGATTTTCCTCCTGTATTAGTGCTTTATACACACCTAGAAAATCTATGAGAAAGTAAAAAAAAGCCTATTACTAGTTATCAATTGGTATCAGTTGTCCGATTCATTTCTCTTGGACAAAATCAATGTGATACTTTTTTGAATAAGAAGCACAACTGCTCACAATAAAATCCTACATTAAACAGACTGATTTTAAAGATACTGACAAAGTCATATGACGAGGCATAAAAACCCAAATGCCCCAACCAGTAAAGATATCAGAAATACCATTAATGAGGAAAAACCCACAAAAAGTCTGAGGAAAGCACTTAAATGTCTAATTCTAGAGTCTACTGTTTCTCTTGCTTTTTCATAAGTGGGCTTTATAACAGGGGAGGGTCTCAGAAAAGAAGTTTTTAAAGCTGATTATGATGTTTAATACTAAGAATATATTGCGTTACCATTTCAGAGCTCTGTAGGTACTCACTTTGGAAAAATACTCCTTTTTACAATTACAAGTTTACTTCTTGTACTATCAAAGTTCCGAAAGGAATGTTAGATTCCATAGTGTTTTTAGAATTAGAGCTGCTTTAATTTAAATTTGCTATTTCTTGATGAATAATGACCTTTCACTAAATACCTTAAATGAGATTTCCTGCTAATTAACTACTTATACTGTGATTACCACCAGCCTGCAACATCTTTAAAAAAAAATAGAGCAAGAACTTTGGAGAAGTTAAATGGAAATACTAACCTAATAACTGAATACCATCAGTTCTATTGGTCTGGCTTTGTTTACTATCTGAGTACACCAAGGAAAGTTGAGTCTGAAAAACCAAAACAAACGAAACCACCCAACAACCAAACACATCAAGTGCACCAGTTTAGGGGCTATATGATCTGTTGTATTAACTGTTTGCTTCAATCTGTCCAGGTTCCAAAATGCCTGACTGTGACTTACCTATCTTTAAAAGTAATTGGTAAGAAACCTTCATTCTGTTAATATATTCTTATGCTCCAGATTTGTAGCACTCCTAGAACCTTTAGCAATATGAAGCTGAGGTGACAGTTTTTATTTCTCAGGTGAAGGTTACCTCTTAGTATTTGCAAGTCTTAGTGAGCCTGATGAAGATTCTAAATACTATTAACATCTAAAATACCCATGAATATCTAAAAAGCAGAGTTTAAGTTGCACAGAATTAATTCCTCTTGTACCCAACTCAATTGTCTTGCAGTAATGGAGACAATGCCACAAACATCAGATTAATTTTGTGTTATCTTATTTTTAAGGAAACAGTCTCAGTTCTTCCCCTTTCCCAAAATAAATGGGAATGCTGAGATTTGAGGCCCACTTGAAAACTTCCTTTCATGGAAGAGCTATAAAAACTTCAAGTACAGAGACCACGGAGTAAAAATAATGAATGACTGAAACTAAAATACAGGTTTCCCATGAAGCATTGCAAATCAATGTTTAGAACTTGAACTGCTAATTATCACAAATAATATTTTCTGTAGATCCATGAAAGTTCCTCTGAAAATAAAAAATACTTGGTGATTTTCTTACCCTGGTAGTCCTCTTGCTCTTGCCGTTCATTGATATCCAAAGTGAGCTTTTTCATCCTCATTCTCTCCTCCTGTTCAGCTTGCTGTTGGTTCCAATGGTTTGCAGCAAGTTGGGAAGACATTGGTACATTTAGGATCTTAAACTGCAAATGAAAATAAGTTTAAGTGCCCAGCACAGAAAAAAAAACAACCACAAAACAATCCAAAATACAGAAGGGTTATGCTTATTTCTAGGTTATTGTGATGAGAGACTTTCTGCAGAAGTTTCTACTGGAAAGTGTGTTTGTTGGTTTTATTTGTTTTTAAACTCTATTTCACATAAGGAAGCATGAAAAAATACAAGATATTTAGACCTCCTAAAGACACAGAGAACATACAAAAAAGGCTGATGTACTGCTAAGGCAAAAGACTATTACACATACTATTTATGGGAATAAAACTGATTAACTTTCACCAGGAACACATAGCTATATGCTTTATTTCTTATTTTCAAACAAGCCGATACCCTCACAGTGAATTACACTGGTCTTGAGATAAAAGCACCATAGCTGGCTCAGAAAGCTGCATCTCCCTCCAAAGGTCTCTACCTTCCAAAGAGATGAAGCCCCCGAGCAGAATTTCTACTATTATCCCTTGTAATAACAGAGGAGAAATGTTCCAAGCATTCCAGATATCCCCCAGCACTCCTTGGCCAGTACTTTTTATGAACAATTCTAGCTCCACAGTGGTGCTTATTAGTCTGGAGACAACTGCGGTGTCAAATTTAATCTCTTCCTCCTCCCCCACACCCAAACATCCACATTCAACACAATGTAGCTTATGGCAAATCAGATAAAGGTAAATTTGGTAGTCCTCCTACAGAAGTACCCTCTCTCTAAATAACACAGCTGAGATTTTCAGAGAGGCATAGGGAAGATGCTTTCTTTTTCCCCAGACTCAGAAAATCCAAGTTTTTATTTCCACAGAAAATTTTTTTACAATTGTTCCAAAACAGAGAAGTGATCCTTCATCTTATCTGCAATTGAAACAGTAGTTTTCAGAAACCCCTTAATGCTAAAGTTTGTGAACTCATTTAGAAAAATCTCGCTTCCTACTTCTAATGGACATGCAGTTGAAGGAAGTATTACCATACTTATGTAGGGTAATGCATTTAAGGATAATCATTCTCAATATTCCACAAACCACTCTGAATCCTGCTGCTTGTTCTTGTCATCTGAGATCTACTTCCACAGAAATAGAAGCAGAGCAAATTTCTAAGTGTTTTTTTCTGCTACAGTGTCAAAAGCTGCAGACAGATACATTATCAGGAGAAGGTATATAGTAAAAGCAAAATCCTCACTGCATACAGTTAGTATTTAATACAATAATTACTAAGAAATCTCAGGGTATCTATTAGACAGTAGTGCCCCGCTAACAGCAGACAAATGATGAGCGTGAGAAGACATCAAGTACCCTCAGACGCAGCATGTGAAAGTAAACTGTTTGAAACAGTTAAGACAGACTCTTGCAAAGATCTGAGAAAAACCTGAGTACAGTGAAGATTTATTTAGATGAGACAAATCAGGCAAAAGATTTGTTGGGGTTTTTTGGGGGGTGGGGGCTGTAATAGCATATTATATTGAACATAAATACAAGCTTGTTATTAAGGTGTGTGGGGAAGAATAAAAATGAAAGCTCTTGAAATTCCAACAGAAAAGTAAGCTTTAGTCACTTATTGCAGAGCAGACTATGCATGTTCCTAGATATTGTCAAATGAATTTCACACAAACTATGCAAATAACTAACCCATTAGCAGCTTTGTATGGTAAAAATCATTCCTTAGCTTCACCATTAAGCTCCCCATCCATCTTAATATGTCCTTTATATTTTATCTGTTCTATGGATTTATCAGCTTAATGGGACTGCTAAGTGTTTTCAGACAGGATGCTTAAAGTAGAAAAAAGAAAACTGAAATATAGAAGGGTGCAAATGAAAGAAACCGATACAAAACCCAACAGACTAGTAATTAACAAAATATCACTGAGTCACTATCTCAAGGCAATCAGACAGTTGCCATTGAAATCAAATCACTGATGACAATTACTAAAGGATATGATGATTACAGAGTGTCCTGGTTTAGGCTAGAATAAAGTTGATTTTCTTCCTAGTAGCTGGTACAGTGCTGTGTTTTAGATTTAGGATGAGAATAATGACGACAGCAACAACTGAAAACGTCAGTGTGTTAAGTAGTGTTTGTACTAAGTCAAGGATTTTTCAGCTTCTCACACCCAGCCAGCAAGAAGGTTGGAGAGGCACAAGAAGCTGGGAGGGGACACAGCCAGGACAGCTGACCCCAACTGGCCAAAGGGATATTCCATACCATGTGACATCATGCCCAGTATATAAACTGGGGGGAGTTGGCCTGCGCGCACCACAGCTTGGGGATTGGCTAATCATTGGTCAGCTGGTGGTGAGCAATTGCATTGTGCATCACTTGTTTTGTATATTCTAGTAGTAGTAGTAGTATTTTCCCTTCCTTTTCTGTCCTATTAAACTGTCTTTATCCCAACCCACAAGTTTTACTTTTTTTTTTTTTTTCTCCTTTCCAATTCTCTCCTCCATCCCACGGTGGTGGCAGGGAGTGAGCGAGCAGCTGTGTGGTGCTTAGTTGCTGGTTGGGGTTAAACCATGACACTGAGCAAGCAAAATATTTCCAATTTGTAAATAGTGAAGAGGTGTATCAAAAACCTCTTATAAAATCTGTGAGATAGGGACAGAACATAAGGACTTCACTTAGAAGATGGCAAACTGGAGAAAGATAAAAAATAAATCAGAAAATGAGATTGCAGAGTACATAAAAATGTCACTGAGATAAAGAACTCCACATTCAAGGACAGACTTGACCATTTCATGGATATTACTGTTCTTTTATGGAACCTTCCTAAAAATCTTTCAAATGAAAGGAAATCTTTGCCTTAGGTATTAACCAAATTTCTTGACACTAGGTGACTTGCTTTTACTGTCTAAATCTCACTTTAGTTCATACCTACATGGAATAACTTCTTGGACAGTTTTATAAATATCAAATGGTATTAGATAGACCTCAGCTCCAATCCCTTATGATGGCAATATTTCTTTATTTCCCTTTGGTCTGTCATGGCTTGTGGATAAATCATGATGCCGTAGTCTAATTTCCAATAACCATGTTCAGTTCTACTGCTACTAGTTTTGTAAGTTTTCTCACACAATTTCTTTGCTATAGCTGACAGGTGAAAAAAAACAGACATCAATTGCAAGACACTAGTCTACCCAATATCCTTGCTATCGCCTGTTTCTGTAAATCAGTATGACAGAAAAAAAGATAAAATATGGTGTCCTTGTTACTACCAGCCTGCAATGACTATTAATTCAGGTTGTACGCTGCTGGTAAATAGCAGTTAGTTGTTCTTGTGTTGCCTCAAAAAGCTAGTTGTCAATGCTCCACTAAAATCTGGCTGAATAACTGGTATGTGAACTGAGTATTTAGTGACCAGACCTCAACTACCAATATTAACCTCCAGAAGGAAGCACAGCATATTCCATTTTCATCAGTAAGTACTTTCTTACAGCAAAGATTTCTAGTTTCAGCACTGTTGACAAAGAACACACAGACCAAACCAATTGCTAACATAGCAAGTGATTAGGTTGATGTATAGTGAGGTGGTGGCGCTTATCATTCCAGTAACTGTGCAGACAAGAAGTTACTTACAGCTGTCCAGGTTGTCTGCAAACTCCTTTTGACTGTTTTTAAAAAGCTGAAAGTTTACAACTGTAACTTAACAGTAAGGTATGCATCCATCACTTCAAAACTCTGTGCATATTCTGCTCATGCAGATTTCAAATAAAGTAGTATAAGAAAGAATAATTATTTTCTTTTCAACTCCACCTCTTCTTTCCTGCTTATTTTTCTGTTAAAACTGACTACTAAGACATAGGGTTTTTTTCTGAATACAGAACTATGGACAAAGAAGCCTTTCACTGACTCAAGAACTGAAATAGTCTGTAAAGCAACTGTTTTCTACATTTCTAGAAACACCGAGAGGAGTTTTGGCAGGAAGAGCCTACTCCCAAAACCAAATATCAGGGGAGGAATGGAGAAAACTCCTGAACAAGTTCTGCTTTCTTTTTAAGCCACATGTTGGCAATAATTTCCCCTCACACAGAATACGAAGATCCTAAAATTCTTGGTAACTACAGATACTCCCAGTAAATTATCCTCAAAAACCTAAACACCATTTTTTAAAATAGAGTTCTCTTAAATCCCTTCTCAGTCCAATGACAACAGTTAAAATTCTGCACTCAAAACTTCTGTAGAACTTTGTATACCACATTCAAGTTCCAGGAAAACAGAATAACCAAACAAATGTAGTAAGGAAATCAGTTAATCATCACTACTAAATGCAAGTATGTATGTGCTCAAATATGTATCGCCACTGACACTTTCAAAGTGCTTACTTTGCACAGCACATGCTCATTAGTTCAAGTGTTTAATGAAAGGAGACCTTCTCACTTTCTACGTGGATTTTTGAAGTATCTTTCATATGAAGGAAGAGAAAGACTCTACTTCAGGTTTATATACCTCAACCATTAAACTACTGTCACTATTCAGGTAACAAGTAGTGACATGGATCTAAATACTTGAAAGGTACAGATGCACAGAATGAAACAGTGCCTTGGTTTTGCTTTCCATCTAGACTCATCATTTTCACCACCAATTTATACAACTGAAATGAAAAGCCTTCTTTAAAAGATCTAAACCATGACGAGAAATGCATGTGGAATGCGTTAGGAATTAATTTGTATACTATGCATTTGCTGACGTACGAAAATTCAAACATATACTGGAAAAAAGAGCCAAGACAAATATAAAGCTTGGCTGCACGAAGGAAGGAATTTATTTGTTTTATCAACATGATTGCCAGTTAAGTTTCTCTGAGAGATTCACTCAGTGTGTTCTGGAATAGTCCCCTAAAAATGTCTTCAGAGATAATGACTTTTTCTGCGAGTTGAACAAATTCAGCCAAATGGCAGTTACTTAGGAAATGGAATTTAGCAAATGCCACATATCTTGATTTGAAGCTGAAAGCGTTTTCAGAAAAATCCGTAGAATCTTGAAGATTCTGGAATATTTTTTTTCCCCCCCTACTCCTTTCAACATTCAGTGGCTAAAATACATGTAAGACATACCACTGTCCTACTGGTGTAATTACCAAACATAATTAGTAATGGTATAATTTAACCACAGAATTTTTCTACATGATTTCTACTAACAACCAAGAATTCTAAGAAACTACATATGGTAATTTCTATGTATCAAAATAAAGTTGTCTGTATGTCATTCTGAGAAAAGGATGAAAAAAAAATTTCTGTGACTTCAAAAGTCACAGAGTGTGACTTTCAAAAAAGTGAAAGGAGTTTATTTATTTAAACAATATCTATACCTTATGTGAACTCTTACCTGCTGTTTGTTGCCTTTTCGTGTTAACATGACAAATGGCATTGTATCTCCAGACTCTGACTCTCCTTCCCCACCTCCAAGTGGGGGACCCTTCTTGAGCTGACTTTTGAGATGTAGAGGAATAGCAACATCCAACTGATGTACTTTAACAGATTCACCACTCCGTTGCTATTAAAAAAAAAAAAAAGAAGTAAATTCTATAAATGATCAGATGCTAAAAATGTCAGCCAGTCTGGCAACATTCATATTATCATGACTGAGAAAAGGTTTAACCTTCCAGGAAAAGAGTCATATAAATAAATGTATTCAGTTTTATTGCATTTTCCTTTGGTTTTCTTGCTTGTGAAGACAAGGGACAGAATACTTCAAGTTTTAAAGGAATTCTGAATAACAAGCTTTTAAGGAAAGAAATCTAGAGACTTGATTAGACACAGTTGAGAATGGATGTTCTACATTCACGATTTTTTTGTAGCATCTTATTAATGTACTCCTTATACAGGGCTTGCTATACTCAAATATTTACCAGATGTGACTGGAAAAAAAGGACTTAAAGGTTATGTAAATTTAAATGCAGCTACATTTTAAACATATTAAAACCTAAGTTTGGCTAGTCTATCATAGACTCAGAACCATTGCATAGTATCAGTTATTATTTATCCAGTAAAATATGTTAACACATCATATATTCACTGGGCAAACAATACAATTAACAGCTATTTTACTAAAAGCTACTTATCCAAACATATCAATTGCAGACAAAAGGCCACATCTAAGAAAAAAATCTGTGTTCTTTAGTATGGTAGGCTAAGCATTAATCACTTACAAAAAAATAATCAAATACAGTTAGCTGTACAGCAAGTTACATTAAGAAAATAAATACTTATACCTGAAGATTTTCCAGCATCATTTTATCCAATGCCTGAATGAAGTCCTCATCTTCTGCACAAGGGACATGCTTAAGTCCTCCTCCTTTAATCATTACTTCCTATTGCAACGGGAAAAAAACCCTTCTGTTACATTAGTTTCAGAAATATGAATATCCAGTCTAGAAATAAGTGGAAAAATATCCTTATTGCTTCCATATAATAAATAATCAAAAGCTTTAAAAAAATAAATTGTTAAAGAAAAAAGTTTTCAGCCTGGATTATTTTCTTGAAGAAATATTTCCTGACATTTATTGCATCTATTATTATGAAGGCTGGCCACTTCTAATATCCTGACATACCAGCATATGTGTACAGATGCATATGTACACATTCCAGATATGGCAACAATACAAAGAAAAATCTCTATCCCTACCACACCTAATTTAACTGATTTTTTCATTAAGTCCATAAAGTTAGGTGGTCTTTTCAAGACAAATACTATCCTTCAGTATTTGGAAAGCACAATGCTACAACAAAAATATTTAAAGTCAGTACCCCAACACATTGTTCTGTAATGATCGTTACTTTCCTTACTATGTAACTGCAATTCAGGCTCAACCGGACGGGCTCTTTTGCTACAGATGTTATGATCTGCCAATCTCAAATTAGCATTTTAGGAGTTTTTCACTTCTTGGTTTGTCTCCTTTTCAGTTTTGAGATGTAGTGGAGTGTAACTAGTTTACCTTGTTGTATTATATCAGCTTGCTGGCATTGCAAACCCATCATTTATGCAAGCTTTTCCAGTCTAGCTACCTGTGAAAGTGCACAGTCCTATGAAAACATGTTGTAGTAAAGCTGGCAGCATAAGTATTTTCAGAAGGTAATAATGAAAGTTTGCAAAAATAAAAAGCAGCTCTAAAATGTATTTGAAAGAATAGCAGGGAGTGTTCTTGCCATGTTTTCCCAGATATGTTATGAGCGGCATTGGCAAAACACATTCAGTAAAGAAAACCAAAATACAAAAGTCAATTCACTTATCTAAAGCTACAATACATACTGTATTCTCCTCATCAGTTTCATTTTCCTTGTTGGAGTCTGTAAGATAGTCTGTGTTTTCTTCCTCTTCTTCTTCACCTTCTTCTTCCTCATTGTCTGAGCCCTCCTGAAATAGTCAATGAATAACTTCTATTTTAGAACAACAACAACAAAAAAAAGACCACTTGCATCTGATTCCTCACATACATTTTCTGCATCCTTCCTACCCTCACCCCATCCAAATCTGTTTAGTTCAGTCTTAGTAAATTTGTTTGTTATGTTTTGTATTTAATGTTCTAGTCTGAACTCACTTGGCTTTATCTGATATTTTCACAAACATACAGCAGAAGACTGGGAGTAGTGGCCAATACACCAGACGGTTGTGCTGCCACTCAAAAGGAACCCAACAAGCTGGAGGAACAGGTTGACAAGAGCTCGTAAAGTTCAACGAAGGGAAAGCCTTGCACCTGAGGAGCTATAACCCCAATCACTAGTACAGGCTGGAAGCTGCCCAACTGGAAAGCAGATCAGCAGAGAAGGACCTGTGGTCCTGGTGAACACCAAAATGACCAAGAACCAGCAATGCACCCTTGCAGCAAAGGCAGCTGACTGCATCCTGCGCTGAATTAGGAAAAAAGTGTTGTTGACAGGTCAAAAGGAGGTGATCCTTCTTGCCTGCTCAGCACTGGCAAGACCCAGCTGGAGTGCTGCGCCCAGCTCTGGGTTCCCCAGTACAAGACAGATATGGACATACTGCTGCAAGTTTGGCAATGGGCCATGAAGATGATTAAGGGATTGGAGCACCTGTCATAGGAAAGGCTGAGAGAGATGGCATTGTTTAGTCTGGGGAACAGAAGGCTTGAGGTAGGGGAAGATATTCCCAATGTGTATAATACCTGAAGGGAGGGAGCAAAGAAGAGGGAATTGGACTCTTCTCAGTGGTGCCCAGGGACACACCCAGAGACAATGACACAAGTTGAAAAATTTCATTTAAACGTAAGAAAAAAAGCCTTCTTTACTGTGATGGTGTTTAAACACTGGAACAGATTGCCCAGAAAGGTTGGAGAGCCTCCATCCTTGTTGATACTCAAAACGTGATTGGACATTGCCTCAGGCAACCTGCTGTAGGTGAACCTGCTTTGAGGGAGGGAGGTTGGACAAGAAGGTCTCCAGAGGTCCTTTCCCCATCCCTCAACCATTTATGATTCTAATGATGATATTAATTTGTGGGTAAAGGCACAAACCTGGCCAAACTTCAGGAATTTTAATGCCGAAAAGCACAGACTGAAAGAAAGCTTACTAATAAACCAACCAACCTAAGCATAAGGAGAAAAAGTGTTTCCTAGTTCCTTGATGAACTCATTTTCTCCTAACACTACCATTACCGTGTCAACTTTGCTGTGTCATTGTGACAAGTTAGAATTTCTATGTACACATTTTTTTTTATGGGCTCCACCATCTCTGATTCAAAATATTATTGGCACAGTAAATAAAGGTTGTTATGCTCCATAAATCTTATTTATTCATATTATGCAGGCATACTCTGAACACCTGTTATTCTTCCTCCACAACTGCTTTGACATCTAGTCAATACATTTGCTTCTACAACAGATAAAGAAAGAAAATGATCTGAAAGCGTTTTCATGCCAAAAAACTGAAGGCATCTTTTTGTTGAGAAGCAGCACATACCCTGAGAAAAGTTGTCAGGTTCAAGTTTCTGCCGTAATTTCTCTGGCATAAGCCTCAGACACCCTGTATTCAGTTTTCCATATATACAAAACTGGGATGGAAACATCCTCAGAGTACTGACGGGGTTGTGCATACCCACATTTCACCTGCTAACTCCGTGACATAGAAGGGCTTCTGAAAGTAATGAGTAATCAATATTTTGATTACTCATTACTCTTTTTATGTGAGACAAGCTAAATTATTAAGTTCACCTCTTCTTCTGGCTCATTTACTTCACTTTCATTTCCAGATTGTTCCTCTGTCTCTGCTCCACCTTCCTCCTCCTCTTCATCCTCTTCCAGATTCTCTCCTTCCGTAATGGAATCTTTGGAATCTTTGTCATTCACAATTCCTGAAATTTGGAAAAAGAGAGAGAGATTTAGAACAAATAACTAGAACAGAATTAGAACACACCTAACCACTCCAGTTCTATGTGGAAGATCACTTCAAAAGTCCATTGTTGCTGAACACTAGAACTTCCGAAGGGTCACAATATTTGACTTCTGAATGAAACATTTTCTGTATAGTTACTTTACTTGTAAAGAGTAGTAATTGCCCTGCAAGAAAAGGAGGAAAACATTATGGAGAATGTTTAAAATCTCCCATAGAACAACAATCAAGAAGCTGCACTGTGCAAACTGCTTCAAAATATCCTCAAACTAGACATGCAACCTTACTGAAACACAACAAAATGAGCACTAAATTACAGATGCTCTACAGAACCAGCAGAACCCAGAAGACATCAAGCCCCTGCAGTCTTAGTTCCAGTACTTCACACTACTGTCAATTAACAGCTTTGAAACAACTATTTTCTCAGCCTGTAATAAACCCTTCTGACTCGTTTCTAATGCCCCGAGGCTGCACTTGAACCTACGAGGATGTAGGTGCCTATATAAAGTCTTTAGGAAATTGGAGTCTCTTCCAAAAGTATTATCTAGTGTGCTCATTCTACTTGCAGATAGGGCTGACAGTTCTTTCACTGTGTTTTAGTTCATCTCGCAGTTTTCCTTACTGACCTACTTGCCACCTCTATCCCTCAAAACATTTTAGTTTACTCTGTGTGTAAGGTATCAAGGGTAGCTCTCTAAACCTCTGCTTTCTTTCAATAAGGTATCCTTCAATGTAATACCCTTATCTATACCACTCCCACAGTAGTGAAAAATAGGTTTTAGTTTCTTTCTGTGCTTCAGTGTTCAATTTAGTCTCAGAAACAGATTTCAGTCAGAACTGTCTTCAGAAAAAATATTTAAGAATCAAGCATGGTTCTGATTCAGGAAAAAATGAAGATCTGTTTTTAGATAACAGCTAGTGCAAAAATTAAGTCATCCAATGCAAAAAAGAACAAACTTCCAGCATACACTATTGTTCTCATACATTCTTCTAATGTTTTTCATAAATTTGCAAAGCCACATAATCCTCCACAGCATCATGGTTTGAGCTAGCAGAAAGCAATGCTGATGCCAGCCTTCTGCAAGACAGCATATCTAAGCCAGTAATTTTTCAAAGATTTTAGTAAGGAGTCAATACAGTTACTATGCAGTTTGTCATTCACATTTTGACATTATACTAACCACACTAAGGGTTAGCCTTTAGTATAAAGTTTTCTGGTCAGCAAATGAATGCATCAGTTCTGTGCTTGTGGCACTCCTTGTTTGTTCTCTGCCATATGCAAAGGACAGTACACAGTTCTTAAGAAGTCTAGATTCTGAATATACAAGTGGTTTGGGGCAAACCAGATTTTTTTTTTTTTCTCCACCTCCAGATTACTTTAAGAGATGCAATATGCGGACACATACACAGAGCCAGGTCTCTACAAAAATTTTACTTAGATCACAAAGATCAGCTTTAGAAGGAGGTGAATTTCAGAGCCATGCTTAAATTAGACAAAACTCAGAAATAAAATGGTTGTATGGTAGTTAGAGGGTTTCAGTTCTGAGTGAACACACACACACACACACTTCCTCCTTCATATTCCAGGGTTTCAAAGCATTCTTTTTTTTTTTTTTCCCTTATTTGTAAACACTGTGCTCTTCACAATACGTGCTGCCCCGTAAATATGCAAGAGTTCCTTTTGAATCACTCCATATTCTCAGTGGTACAAAATCACTGGAGCGGCAGAGGAACCAACACTCAGTCACGAATGTAAGATCTGCAGGCAGCAAGCCACCCCACTGTTCTGCCTAGAATTTACACTTCAGACAGACGAAAGAACAAAGCTTATCGTGGTCTTTAGCAAAATACCTTACCAGCGGTTAGTGTCCATGGACCGAGGCACTGTGGGGACAAACTGATCAAGAACTGCGGTTTTACTAGAGCTTTTGCTAAAGTATTAAAAAACTCATTTCCTTCAGATATGCTTGCATCTGTTGTCATAACCTTCAAAGACCAGAAAGGCAGATGACAACCTCCCTGAGACCACCTTCAAACAGCCCTAACAGGAGGACTAAGGAGTATCCCACCCTATACTGATGTTTAATAGCAAGCGAGTAATATCATTATCAAGAAAAGCAACACACTTGGGGAGGAGATGGACAGACAGACACAACACAGCCCCCTACAGTAAGGGCTGTACTGTTGATGGCCTTTGCTCATGCCAAAACACACACAATAAAATGTTCTCCAACACTTGTTCACATTCAGTGACCACGTATCTCCCTCCTTAGCTACACTGAATCCAACTACTACAGCGGTCGTGATCCAGAGAACAGAAGTTCTTATGATTTGTAGAAGTCCTGAGTATCTTTCAAAAGAATATTACAGTTTATGTAACTAGTTGTAAACTACTTCTTGGTTACCATTTTGAGAGCATAAAAGCTACTAATTTAATCATACCGTAACGAAATTTTTATCTGCATTTCAGTTACTACATAGGTAATTTTAAGGCATGTCAATTAAACAAACAGCATATTAAAAAAATTCCTCCGAAAACAGAAGTTGCAACATTTTACCTGACAATTACACATAGTCATCCCACTGGATTAAAGGATTATTCTTAAAAATTGAACTTGTCTAACTAGATGAAGTGCTATTAAGACTCTAATTAACACTTATAAAGTGTAAAATTTACATATAAAAACTTTTCATGAACAAGCTTGTCTTCAAATAATAATGGAAGATTAGAAAACAATTCCATTTAACGAGAAGTGAGCACAGTAAGGACTGGTATGTACATTTAAAGGTTAATATGACAACAGCAGTTTTAGATACACACTAACCAGTATTTTGTCAACTGAGCTGTGCTGCAAGCCCAACTTTTTTCTCTTGAAATTAACTGATTTTTAAACGCAACAAGATTTATAAATATACATCACTGCAATTTTAGCAGGAACTACAAGCTAGCATACAACCTAGCTGAAAGATACATTTTAAGAAGGAAAAAACCCCCTTTAATAATCCAACCAAAGTTCTAATTCATAAAAAGAAAATCATCCTCTGGCCTCTACTGAAATGTAAAGCCAATTCAAAATTATTCCAAAGGAAGCGTAAGGTTCAAAGTACCTGACAGCATTTTAAAACCAAAACATGTTCTCTCTTTTATTGTAGTCTTACACTAATGCTTACTCTGACACAGCAACTTCAGTCAAATCCAGAACTGGGGAAGGAACACAGAGTTGCAAGCAACCAATCTACCAAAATGGCAAAGCTGGTTTCCATCAGTGCTTACCAACCAACAGGCTAGAGTAATTGAGTGTGCAGATACTCCTTGCTTTTTGCAGTACAGCGTGCTTCTTAAATTTTTCTGATGAAAGTCATAGTTTTCTTCCTCATCATTTGCGCCATACTACTCGATACACTAATACATATATACACACACACACACTCCCCCTCTCCAAACACTACTATATTAATAGTATTCATATTGACTTTAAAACACTGAATCACTTTAGAGTTATACAGTTTCTGTATGATCTCTATGATCAGAAAAATGCAAAGATGTTACAAAAATATTTCTACCATAAGAATAAGATTTTATCACGAGAATAACAATAATTACCTATCATTATACAAGAGACAATTTTAAGAAATACAGGAATTGTCTAAAAGACCTCATTTCCCTTGCACATTTTCTTACCTAATTTTATTAAGAATTCTCGTTCCAAGTCTTGCACCTGTCTGATAGCTTCTTCCAGAGAATTGCAGAGCTTTATCTTTGGTCTCAGCAGTTCCAGTGTATCACTGATCATATAGTCTATGTCTATAGGAAATGGGTGGTCTTTTGTCCAAACATCCAGACTTTTTTTCCACCAAACATACCGCTAGAATACAAAATATTCAAATAAATGATATGCACACTAGCATTTATAAACTACTTAACTAATGAAGTTTGTAATGCCTAGCCATGTTTGTACAGCAAAAAACGCAAAAGATTTCACATCACTACTCTCCTATTTCACACAACTATTAGATATTTTGTTATCACCAAACATTGTTTGATAACATTGGATATCACAAACATTAAGAATATGTTCCTTTTATTGTAACAACTGTTAGAAGGATGAAGACTGAGCAAAAAAAGCACTGAAAAGAAAGTGCCTTCTAAGGGTAGATTCCTTCTATGAGAGACAAGGACTTAATCAGCCAACTTTAAATTCCCTTCTCCATATTCTTTCAAGAAAATTAATTCCCCCAAAGGCATATTACGTGGAGAAGGGGGGAAACATCACAAAGTTTTAAGACTGCAGCTAGCATGAAGTGACTTATCCAGTTTGCTTCATAACAAATTAGCACATACCCTTTACAATAAAATTGTAAAAAATAAATGCTCATCTTAAGTGAACCTAACAGTAGAATCTGAGAACAAAGGTGTTGCAAAAATTGCATCTGAAAATGAAGTATGAGTAACAGAATCTCTACTTAAAAGATGACATGGTCTAAAGGAATGCTTCTTGAAATCATAAGGTGTAACAAAAATACTTGTCCACTGACAAAGTTTATTTTGGGTTTAAAAATAGGACCGGACCGTACTTCAGAACATCATTTTACATCTCATACAGATGAAGGATATGCATCCTGAAGGTCTGAAATAAGTTGTTATCACCTTAATTTTTATTTTTCAATATCCTTGATTTAGTTTAAAGAGAGAAGCAGAAAGAAAAATAAATTAAGTCCAAAGAGGTTTAGCATGAACTCCATAGACTAGAATTCCCCTTTTTCTGAGGAACTCATTCCAGTGTTTAAACACTCCCGTTACGAAATCTTTTCCCCGCTCTGTTGCATCTACTGAGTCAAAACTTTCTTTGCTGTGGCTTGTGACCATTACTTCTCATCCTTACTTCTCAGGCATGCTCGGTGAATCTGATGACTCCTCCTCTACAAACACTATTAGCTGAGGACAGCAACCTAATGAGCATTCTCTTCTCCAAGCTGAACAAACCCACAATGTAAGCACTGAGAGCCTCCTGATCATTTTGGTGACCCTACACTGGGCTCAGCTCAGTTTGCTGATGTCTCTCCTCTCACCTACCAGGGAGCCCTGAACTTGAACCAGTGCTCCAGTTGTGGCCTCACAAGTGCCAAGCAGAAGCTGGGGGGAGGAAATCACTTTCCTCAATCTGCTGGCTACACCCCCGCCAAGGCGACATAGTATGCTGTTGGCCTTCATCACCCTAATGGTGCAGAACTTAATATCACATTCATACAGTTCAGGAGTCCTGGCTCTATTTCTGCAAAGCTGCTTTCTAGGTAGTCAGTGCCTGGTGGTATTGCTGCATAGAGCTATTCCATCCCAACTGGAAGACTCTATACTTAACCTTTGCTGGAATTCACAAGGTTTCTGTCAGCCCATTCTTCCACTTGCTAAGACCCCCTGAAGGGGGAAACCTAAACCCTTCAGTGAATCAACTGCTATCCCAGTGTTCTGCAAGTTTGTTGGAACAGTAACATCTACATGTAACTGAACATACGTGTCACTTTAAAATAAAACGGCTATCGGACAAACAGGATTCTAAAAATTATAGTGCTAGAGAAGCATGAGGGAAATATGTAACAGACTGACTTACATTAGCTTGTTAAAGAAATCTACAGAACTATATAAAATTTAGTTTAGAATACCTGAAAATATACAAGGAAGCAATCAAGTTTTCGTTTGCTGGATCCTCTGTCAAAATACTGCCCACAGGTATCAAGGATAGTACAAACCAGTCTGATTCTGAAAAGATGTTCTGGAGGGTCCAGTGGACTAGGACTACCATCAGGGTTCACACCGAATGATGTGAAAGAATACAGAGTTCTAAATATTACAGCTGATTCCACCATTCGATAATTGTAAAGCTCCCCCAAAAACTTGGCACTGCTGATCCGCCGTTGGTTAAACTTTGGCTGGTTAACCTTTATCAAAAAAGAACAAAAAATTCACTTGAATCACATAGACACAATAGAATCTTTGTAAAAGGTCTGGTTTTTGTTTTTTTTTTTTAAAGAAAAAAGCAGTATAAAAAACCTGATAGAATTCATTATGATACAGTTATTTAGGGCTATATACATTACACGAAATTAAACATTAGAAAGTAGTTATGAAAGTTGGTCAACTAATAGTTATTATAAGTTCAAATACATTTAGCGTACACTCTTCCTTAAGTCTATGATGATTACACATTGCCCAGAGAATTCTTGTAATTATAACATCTATCAAAATATGGACTGGTCTCCAAAGTTACTTGAAGTTTCATGAATCTGACTACACTGTGAAAGAGTAAATTGTATGCCCTTGCTATGACAAGGGGGGCAAAACAACTGTCCTAGTAATCTTTGCAGTTTGTTGGGTTTTAGGGGATTTTTTTTTTTAATTTAAATAAACCTACATAAAGCAAACAACTGAGGTAGAAAAGTCATCAGATAAAAATCCAGAATCCAAGGATTCCTTTCTTTAAGCAAGATTATGTTACTGTTATCCTTTCAACATAAGTAGATGAGTATAGCTTAATAAGAATATTGGTTGTTTACCTCCATTCCTAGTCGAATATCCTCTAGCACTCCATCCACAACATGAATTCCAACATCTTCCTGGTAAAGGACCAACCCTGCTAAGAGGTTGGCTACACAGTGAATACTATTATATTTCACATTCCAGATGTTGATCATACAGCATATAACATAGTCTTTTACTTCTGCATCCTGCCAAGGCAGCTTGCGCATCTGTCTCAGGACCTAAACCAAGTTTCAAGATAAGCTTAACATTCTAGCAGGCAAAACGTCAAGACACTCGCTGTCATCCTCTGTCTCTCACAGTTGGGATGAAATCCCTGTAAGCACCTGCAAGCAACCTCATCCTGTTTTTCAAGCATCCTCCAGATCTGCAGTAGCTACGGAAAACTTTATATACGTAATGCAATTGCTGTCCTGTAGCTACTAATGAAGCTGTACAAATCTGTTCCACAATTTCCTTGCTCTTACAGTCTGCATTTAACTGTAGTCTTTTGTCTCTTACTCTGAACACAAGATGCTTAGCACAAAGATTCTAATTTCATTCTTTATTTGTGCTGTGGAGAATGCAGGTCCATGATTGGAGCTTCTATGCATTACAATAAAAGAAATTAAACTACCTTAACAATCAGGGATACAAAAATGATCCCTCTTCCTTGCAATTAAATAAATTATAACCCTCCATTAACCCTTCAAAAGTTAGTATTACATCACTTCCAGTAAAATCTGTATTAAAGATTTACCTTCTCTGTGGTGACCTTGGAGAGATCCTTGTAAAGAAGCTTACGGATATATTCCTGCAAAGGAGGACGTTTTTTCTTCACAGTTTTTTCAGCTGGAGGGGGATTACAGTAGTAATAGGCATTTTCTACCATTGTAACATAGCGTGCATCAAGATGCATTGCTTGTTTTTTTCTCATCATTTGTTCCTGGAAATAAACACAAATGATCAGCATACTACATTGTCAAGCCAAAGGCGTCGAGAGTTATATTTGGGATAAAGGAAAACAGGAAGGGTTGCAGAAAAATAAGTTAAAAACTTGGGCAGAGAGAAGAAAGGGCAAAGCATATACATGGTTCTGTGTTGCTATTTCCAAGCTAATTTTTCTTTACAATCCCTATTTTTATAATGGTTCACCTGTGGTGAAAAAGGTTTCAGAACAGTATTTAAAGTTTAACTTGAAATCTAAATGTTACTGTTTAGATAAATGGTTAATAAGATAATTAGTCACTCTATTCAAAACATGATTTTATTTAACTAAAGTAGCTGAAATACTGATGTCTTGACACAAGCACAGTGAATCATCCTAAGAGTAGCAATCTACTTTTTACATCAGTATGCAAATCCAGAGAGTTTATATTGATGGTTTCACATGAATTTTCAATAGTATAGATGATGGCATTTTCCTTATTACATGCTCCATTGTTGCTGTTTACCCAAGCAGAATAGACTGCAAGAAAAACAGTACCTACCATAAAGCAGCATTTCAGGTAAAATCAGACATGTTAAAGGTTACTACGTTAACACTAATTACTGTGCTTAATTGTCAGGATTGTCCTAATTTTCCTCACTGAACACAATCTTTTCTCCACCCTTCATTTTGGATATGTACTTTATTTTGTGGGTTTTAAAAATTTCTTGTATCCAAAAATTCTGTACAAGAACTAAAGTAGTGGTTCCAAGCTGCTGATTTTTACAGTTAAAGATGAGGATGAGCTTAATTCCATTATAAAATAATTTCTATATGCATATGTGCATTTATATATGTGTATAATTCTATAAGTCACATTAAATGTTTTATGTATATCATACTATTCCATATATTCTAATCACTCTAAGGTGGTTCAACAGAAAAAGAAACTGCACCAGTTTAGACTTTACTATTTAATAGAGGTTGGCTACACAGTAATTTACAGCATCAAAGAAATCAACAAAACTAACCTGTAAGTACTGTTTTGTTACCACACACAAATGTTGGTATATACATTCATGCAGTCCAGTGAACTAATGAAAAGAGTTTAAACCTTCTTTGATCATTGGTGAAGAAGCACAATTTTTCATGCTTGTGGACTTCCCACTAAACTTGAATAATTTAAAGTTTCTTTTACAAGGCAGTGGTCCAGTTAAACTGAAATGTAAACATACTCAAACCACTCCTTAACCTTCAGTTTCAGCTGCTAATTCAATGAGGAAGAGTAGCTTTGTGTAACACGGTAACCCAACAAATAATGTACTTTTCCTCCTAGGTTGTATGCATCCATTGCCAGGAAGGCCTCAATCTGACACCAATGCTAAGACATTTCATTTTTAACCTTCTCCATGACACAAATGGCCTCCCCCTAAATTCCTTAACTGAGATTGTTCCTTTCGAAATGGGAAATTTCTGTCAAGGAGTAGAAAGTTTACCTACAGGTACTTAACAGATGCACAGCACTTTTAACAATGGAGTACTCAAATTGTTTTATGTGTGGAAAAAACACTTAGAGTAGAAAGTTCCCAAACCTTATCATGTCATATATATCAATATTACCTTTGTAAATTTTTCACCTTTTCTAGATGCATCAGGATAAAATACATCTTTGCTGCCTTAATGACATTTATCATGTTCTACTATAAAATGAAAAATGAAGTGAGGCAAAGTAAAGCATAACAAAGAAAATGGCAGAAATGCTCACAAATAAAACTTACAAAACCCTAAACCTACATACTTCGTATATTTTCCCATTATAATAAGTTGCACATTATACTGTAAATAATAGGTTATAATTACAATGTTTCTTCCCAGAAGAGACAATATGCACTACCACAAGTCTCAAAATCACTGTAGTTTATAATTTTTTTTGAGCAATCCCAAGTATGTATTCTAACTCTAAGTGGATGGTATTAGTCTTAATCTCTATTAAAAAGCCATCACCATTTTAAGCAACTGTGTTTCAATCCTTTTTCATTTAAGGCATCAAGTCAGATGGACAGGCAGGAAAGAGAAACTCTAACAATACACTGCCTACAATAACAAAAACCTTGACACGTTTCAGAAGAAAAAAAGCAAGACCTGCAGTCTCAAGTGCTTTCAGCTAATTAACTACTTGGGGTCCTCATCTTACTATGCTAAAATGAAGAACTACAAAGGTAAAGCATTACACTTGAAGATTAGATTTCTGTTTTTCCTTTGATAAAAAGGGATCACAAACAACATTAAAATGTCCAGCTTAAAACAGCAACAGTAAAAAGGTTTCTTTTTTTTTTATTCCCTTCTTGGTGAGTAACAAAACTTCTCTGCACATAGCATATATTGCAGATGCATTTCAAATGAAAATCTGGTGAGAATTAGGAGGTGCTCCTCCGGTTAGTAGTCTTGCTCCCACCCCCCCCAACCTGGTAACACCAATTTGCATAGCAAGAAGTAGAACTTTTGCAAAGCAGCGCAAAAAGAAAAAAGTCACCAAGTAAAACCTAAGCAGAAAAGCCCAATTCAGAAAAGCATTTCAGCATGACTGACATTTAAATTGAAGATACTGAAACTGTTCAGCTCCTCCTCCCCTTTACTACCTACAGTTCTGCTCTGCTACTTGTTCCAACAGTTCCAAGTCAAAATTTTAAATTTCCTGGAAGCACACTACTGTTATAGTGAATTAACACAGTCTGATTCTAACTAAAATTACTTTGTCACAGCCTCTGTCTGTACAAACAACGTTCTCCCACAGTTTCAGCTCCATCTATAAAAGGAGTCACCCCAAGAAATAAGCCACCACGAAGCTTAAGTTCTGTATGTTTCCAAATACAAATGATCTTGCCTTAAAGCTTAAAAAGAGAATTTGACAAAATTGTCTAAGGATAAAAAAAATGCATCAGAAAGCTTTTAATACCAAAACTTCAAATATTCTTTTAACAAGACCACAACAGCGTAACACAAGAATTTGACATTTTAGCATGATTACATTATAGAAACATAGATCAAGATAATGCTGATCTTCCTTCCAAAGCACCAATTCAAATAATCCAATTCAAATAATCCATTTATCAACAGACCAATCCTAAAGCCAAGTTAGTTTTACATTAATATTTTAAATTACATAAAGAACATTGAATTTGAAAGACTTGCCAAGAAGAACGATTAACTGAAATAAACATTGTCCTGATAAAAGAAGAATCTTTAAATAATTTGCAAAACATGACAGTAGTTCTACAAAACCAGAATGTGATCATTAAGTGTTTCTCTAGCATAAGTCACTTAGTGCCGCTAATTTTGCGGCACTCTTACAGAATGCTCTGCTTCTTAATTAATTTTCCCTTAATTACTCTTAAAATCCATTCTTAACTATGACTTTCTTCCATACTAGGACAAAGCAATATTGTCTTTAATAGGAGACATAAGCCTGTTTGGCATCTTATTACATAATGCATCATCAGCAGTAAAGACTAAGACCAATAATTATTTGGAAGATCAACAGGCCTTAATTCTACCCATAAGAGTAATTGATAAGATGAGCTTTACTATTTACTTAGATTTTTACCACAAGATGCTAATTAGTTTGCTTTGGGAGTAATCTTTTCTAGAGTTCACACTAACTGGTACCATAAGGCTATGATCCAACTTGTGTAATACTATTTAAGTCAAAACTAATCTCTATAGTTTCTATAGGGCAACATTAGAAGATGCAACTATAAAGACGGTTGTAGAATACAAACCTATTTAGCCTATTTTACTTCTTAATCAATAGATATTCCAAACTTACCTGCCATCTCTATCATCTGGTTCCTCAATGCATAAGAAAAGACTACTTATCTGAAACCTTGTGAGGCTTTAAGCCTCAATTATGGAAACAGTGCGTGTGGTTTGTCTTACACTTCACAGTTATGTTATGTTTCGCATTCATCCAGCAGATTTCAGCAGTCTGTATCCAATTAAGTTGCTTTTAATTTAATGCAATTTCCTATTGCTAGTACCTATCTTTGAAAGACTTCAGCCATGTTTGACTCAGTCTCTTGCCTTGGACACAGAGGTTTAGGATTGTTTCTCAAGCCAGTAAACATATTATTCAGGGCTCAAATTCATATGCTAAAAAGACCAAAAACTAATCCTTGTTATTTTTAAATCTTGCCAGTACCTATCTAGACTTACGGATGCCACTTCTACTCTTAACTTAATTACCAATCTCTCTTTCTAAAACCCCTTCCTCCAGTGTCTTCATAAACTCTTCCTTCCAATTTACAACCCCAGAGTGTTACACAGGGCACAGAAACCACCTCTCACAACTGCCTTCACCTCCAGTTGAAGTATCTTATCTCCAGTTCCATTCACTACCATTTTTCCCCTCGAATAATCTCTCATGTGTGTTTAGGTACAGCTACTATATTCTTTCAACCTCATTCTCTGTTTTTGCTCTATCTCTGAATTATTTGTAGTTCAAAAGCAATAGCTTTTTGCTTTAGAAATTTAATTCTTTATTTACATTTTCTTTTAAGTCATGACAGATTTATAGGTCAACTGAAGTTCTCCAGAATGCTTTCAGAAAGCTATTCGCACAAGAGGTAAAATCTCAGAGCTAAAACAACACTGAACAAACTATAAATAACAAGATGATACAAGTCCACAGGACTACAAAGACTGATAGTGCCAAAGCAGCTTAGGACTTGAACATATGTAACACCAGTCCATGTCAACCCCACTGCACAACGAGGAGGCAAGACTTCAGGAAAACCGATTCATTGTCCTCCCATACTTGTCTCTGTTTTTATTAAAGAATCAAGAACTTTATCCTCCCTGAGCACTCAAGATAAAACTTAATGAAAGTTTTCACTCACAAGTGCTTGAACATTGTAACTGACAAGATATTAGTCACAATCATTGTTATAGTCAGACCACATTGCAAAGCCAGAAAATAAAAGTAGTAATCAGTTTAATTCAGTGCATGACACCCTCCCCCATTTGGTTCTCTTACCAAAAGAACACTGGTTCTTAAGTGAGATTCTGGTGATCTAAAGAGGAATCTTCCACAGGTTTCCAGCAGAGTGCATGCCATTTCAATATGGTGATGAGAAAAGTCTGACAGAAGCATCTGGTATATATTTATATATAAACACAGCATGTTAAACATCTTTTTCAACTGCAGAAAACAGTAAGTTTTATCTACCAGACTTTATACTACTGTGGTATTCCATATTCTTTAAGAAAAAAATGAAAATTGATTTCACTGATTAGATGTTAACAACATTCAAAATATTCATCTCATTTCAAAAGTACTGTAAGAACAGTCTAGACCCCAAATTTAGGCTCCAGAAACCTAAAAACCCAGGATGTTTCCTAAGCCTAGCATAAAAAGACTACAATATTAAAACAAACACTATAATCTCTCCCATACCCTTTCCAACTCAGTCATGTCTGCTTTAAAATTCCTGCTGCTAGACTGGAAAACCACCAAATAATACTGCACAAGAATACAATAACCTCAAAGCACATCTAATTTAATTGTATTGTTTAAGTTAAGCAATAACTAAAAATTAAGAGCTTTGCATTTTAAAACATTTTATAGATGAGAAAAGAAAAATGATGAGTGAGTATAATTTTTTAAGAATTCAGCGTCAATACCTAATGAGTCAATGAATAGAAACTATTTCCAAAGGAAGTGATCTTAACCCATGTAAGTCTTCAACCACATTTTATAAAAAGCACTTTCATTTTTTAAAACCCTTTTTTAATTTGGGACTTGACATCAAAGATAAGTTTGAATGTTTATCAGCATGCAAACTGAGATGATATGCCTAGAGATTAATGCTTTCCAAAGATTTGGGTTGTTCCTTGACAAAAGCACCTGCTAAAATGGCATATAAGCCTGTCCTGGCATCACTGAAAAGCTTTCTGCCTCTAACCCCTCCCTTTACTGTTATTTTCTCTGTAAAAACATGAGAGTTTTGCAATGTATAGCAGATGAATAAGTAGCAATGTCTACCATCACTTTACAAAGAAAATTATTAGCAATTTGATTATGTCCAAAGGTGGAATTTTATTTTACTATATTCTTACCACTAGAAAAATTAAAACATTCTAACTTCTAGAACAGCTATAGAAGTCTCCTTATACACAGTAGCAACAGATATCCACGTTTAAAACATCATATGCAATGAATTAATGGACAACATCAGCAATAGATATATGTAGGGGAATAGGATGGGGATACATTATCAGCCTATACAGGAGTACAGGACTATCACAACACTAACCTTTAAACAGTGGAGAGTATCATTTTTGGAGAACATCTTAAACTTGGTAAGCTCACCAATAAACCTCACAGTTTTATTCTTTGTTTCAATGTTGATCTGGTCCTTTTTTCTTACCTAAAAAAAGAAAAAAAAAAAAAGAAAAAAAAAGACATTTGATTTTAGGTCCTTAAAAATACCTACCTCTTATAAATTACTTTGACCCGAATGTGAGTAATAAGCTTGGGAAGTCAGCAGTGTTTAATATTTGTTTGGTTCCTTATGCTCTACCTTTACCTATTACCAGGTTTCCTGAAAGTCTCTCTACAATCTTGCTTCTTCAGAAGCTTTTGAATTTCTTTCCCCATCCCATGACCCCCCAAAACCCTAAGTCCTCTAACATACCTACAGTTATAGGCACACATCAACCTGGCCACCTCCCACCCCCCCTCTTTGCCACTGTGAAGTACTGGTTAAGTATTCTAGATTCTGTATTTTTAGTAAGTAATTGCCATATGAATAGGACCACTTGTATAGTCCCTAATTAAACACTGACAGCTTTTTCAAGTCAGGTTTAATGACGTACAGACTTTTTTTCCTTTTTTCTTTTAAAATTACTGACATCCAGCATAATTTTACTAATGAAGCAGAAGTTTATATCTATGTCTAAACATAATCCGCAAAATACAAAATTGTATTTCTCCCCAACAGAAATAGCTTTTCCTGAGAAGAAACAGTTAACTTCAAATAGTTAAGATTACTTAAGTCTGAGCAATTAATACACATTTTTAATGTCAGTATTAGAAAAAAAAAAAATTGAAATCTGTGCCTTAAAACTCAGAAAACACTGAAGGAATCATCACTGTGCACCATAACCAATTTGATTACAAAACCTAGAAGAAAGTGAAAGAAACAACACTGAAAAATACATTTGTGAGGAATAGAAAATTTTGGTTGATGAAATTGTAAAAAATAATTTGAATTAAGCACTACATTACAATAGTAACCACTATATTAGAACAGTAACCTTGTAGAGGAGAATGTGGTGTTAGAATAGGTCAGTTCTCATTTTAAATACAAGTTATTAATTTACAAGAAACTCTTAATGCTTACAGTTGGAGCACAGTTTCTAGTTTTTGCAACTTCTGTTGTAACTGTTGTACAGTTCATTTTAATATATATGGGCAGAAATATATTGTAAGTTGTAAAATAATTCTTTTAAAATGTACAAGTCTAGTATTCTAGAACAAATCTGCCCAGATGACAGAAAAATATTCACTGAATTTAAGAATTAGCATCTACGTTAACATCAAACGTTCTTTTATTCCCCAAACGATGACTACTGTCAGATTGGTTAATTTGAATGCAAAAAACTAAATCAACAAAACATACATGAAATCTGAAATCCCCTTTCAGCATGGAACAAAGATCCTCTGCTACATCAGACATACAGGGATGTAATGTGGCAACCAGTCTTGCATAAAACGGTAGCAAATCCAACCTGCAAAGGAGATGGCAAAATGGACAAGTAATTTATAGACAAAAATGTATTTATGTCTACAAGTATAGGTATCATTTTACTTGTGAAAAGAATGAATGTGCATATACTGACAGAACTACGTACATGCAATTTTATAGGCTCACACTTCAGACTGCGGTATCACTTTAAAATATCAATAGAAGAAGGTATACTACCACATCCTATTGGAATCCTTCACAGTTAATTTCCTTTCAAAACTACTGCCTTAGGTGAAATGCCAAACACCATCTTAACTACAGAACCCAACCTTTAAGAAATTACCAGATATAAACAAAATTCAGATCCCTCTCAATATGCAAAATGAAAAATTCTTACAGAGAACTCCATTTCTTATTGCAATTTTCTTTTTTTTTTTTTCTTTTGAGTAGCTGCAGACATAACCAGGAAGGTAGGAACATCTTTATTTTTAAGGTGGTGAACTTCTAAATGAATGTAGTAGTTATTACATAAAACAAAGTTCGGCAGATGTGATGTGGCAACACTTTTCCCCAAAACTCAGCTAGTACTTCCACAAATGGTAATATTTCAAAAATTTCTATAGGACTTCTCTTCTTTTCTCTTTCCTTGATTACATGCCTTCATACCCATTTCATAGTATTGCATGTTTCTCTTAAGGAATTTTGGAGGGCAATTTGTGTTTTCCTTAGTTTGTACTTTGTTTCTTTACATCAAAGACTACCCGCTTGTAAAAATGGGATAAAGGCCCTTAAACCTGGTTTGTGTCATCACGTAACAAGACACAAAATATAGCGCAGCTGCTTTGTGTAAATGTGCATGTATCACTTAAATGCAGAGAAACCAACTGCACTCTGAGGCCTCATAATATCATGTAACAAGCTGAAGAAAGCATTTTTGGTTTATTTTCAAAACATAAGTTAATGCTGTAAACAGATGAACTGTACAACAAGCCTACTGTTTAAGTGGAAAGAAACATCTTAAATTTGCATGCTTCAAGTAAGAAATTGCCTGTAAGAGAAAAATGGTTCTTGATTTTACACTTTAAGAAGGATTAAGGTTTTCCCTACTGCTAGGGAAAAGGAAAAAAAAAAGAAAGAAGAAAAAATGCTGCCCAAAAAAATCTAAAAGCACAGTTGATACATAGAACTTGCCCTGGCACAAAGTAAAACTGCAAAAGCATCACAACAAAAACCCCAAAGCAAAGCATACACGACTGCCTCCCCTCTCCTTTCTACTGCTACGTCACTAAAGCACATTTCCAAGATCTTTAATATCCACTCAGAGAAAGAGGGATAATTATGTATTTAAATTGTGGATTAGAAGCATCAGAACATAGTGCCTGAAAGAGGCATAGCTAAGCAGCCTCCTGATAATACATAAAACTCCTGGTGAAACATTGCAGGTATCCCAGTTAGCTATTTAACAGCTTTTATTCTCTCTTGTTAATCAATAACTGAAGCTGTATTTACATTTTTGAAGCTTGTTGGAACACTCAGTCAAGGATGACTAGCCACAGCAAATTAATATGATGTTATTAAGCATTTAGCCATTAACTCTCAGAAGAGGTGAAAGTCTCATTACTTCACACACACATACAAAAGCTAAACTAAAAGGGGACTTTGGCTGAATTGAGGGGATTTCTATAAGGCATCTCCCAAGACAAATAGCAGAAAGTTTTATTCTGGTCTGAACAAGTACCTGCCTGCTGAGAGCTAATAATTTCATCCCTGTAAACTGAACATACCTGGGGGAAAATTAAATTCTTAGAGAACATTGTTGTTATTCCCTCAAAGAACACAAAAGGTTTCTTCATGGGGAAGAATACTGAGACTGGGTATTTCTCAACAGGTGAAATATAATAAGAAAAAGCCTTGGGTCAATTACAGTGAAATTGGCAATCAGAGATTGAATTCATTCCCTCTCTCACAGGGGAGATAAAAATTCATGTTTGTAAGTGGAGAGATTACAGAATCAGTGGCACCATCTACTGGTACCTGCATTAAGGCTAAAATAACAACATTTGTTTTCTCCAAAAGCATTTCTTTTTCTTGAGAAGCGGGGCAGAAATTAACTAAGAAAACCACAAAACCCACAGTATTGCTTTCTCTTCCTGCTCTTCTACATTATGAAGCAAGATCTATCATCACGGATGAGTCAGTTACTCTCTGAAGCCTATGTTAAGCACCCTGAATATAAACTACCATAGTAAAAGAAACACTACTTCTGACCATTGTCATTTTGACCACATACCCTGGATTGCAATCTAGTCAACTCTGGATCTCTGGATCACATGGACTGCACTTCAGTGCAATATCTAAGAACACATTTTTTGGTAGAATTTCAAATTCTAGTTTATTTAAAAAAAAAAAAACCAAAAGCAAAATAACACAGAAAAAACCAAAAAACTTTGCTCAATAAAGTCCTAATTGCAATCTCTCTAGAACAGGCGCATCCAAAATTTTATATCCAGACAGAGCGATGGAGGCATTTTACACATTTATTAACTGGGATTCTACCAGAAAGACAGCATAAAGAATGAAACAACAGAGCAAAAGCTCCTGCCTCAACAAGCATAATCATAATCCAGATAAATGCAGTGTACTCACAGGGCCTGAACAGGTACAAACTGCCACCCACACTGCTCAGTGGGTAGAGAAGGATGCAGTGGAATTGGCATGCTATCAGATGAGCAATTTTTGCTTTTGTTTCTTAGCCATGGCATAAACTCCTTATCTCAAGCACATCCCCAAATTTTATCCTTAAATGAGACAGGCCACTGAAACACTGATAAGTCAAGTTCAATAGAGCAAAAAGGACCTTGCTACTGAGGATTCTCAGGATAAGGACCTGAAAGAAGGTAGATATACAGGAGGTTTACAACTTCTGAGTTAAAAATGCTCAGAACTATTTAACACTCAAGAAGCAGCTAACTTCTGAATTACGAACAGCCAACAATAATGCTAAAAATTTCCATATGATGAACAGATCTCTTGCTTAGTAAACTTGTAACTTCATAAATAACCATAAATGAGAAAGGCAAAAAAATCAGAAGCCACAACAGCCCCTATTTATTGTTTAGCATTTGTCTAGAATTGTTTAGAATTTAAGGCCTAAAAATAGACTTTAAACTTCTCACATTGAAGTTGAAAAAATTCAACAAAATTGCAGTATGCAGTTAAACATAAATAATTAAGTGTATCTGTACAGGAAGATAAGTCAGTCAGATAGCAAAGAATTACACAAAAACGCCCTAAAGCTGCGAGCAGTATGGGTTAAATCACTGTACTGTCACTTCAGTGCAAATGATATAGTCCTGAATTAAAAGGCTAATATTTAGTTTTAAATCAATCCTCCAATGCAAAACTGAAAGTGACTTGTATGTTTGCATTGAAAAATCTTTTTAAGAGGCTTTCTGTTCTTTTGGGTTGGAGGTTCAAGACGCAACTGAAAACGTAAATGCGATCCATTCATAAGTATTCAAAAGAGTAGTGCAATGATGTTGTATTCTAACACTAATCTACAGTTAGTTGAGGAAAAACCATCCTTTTTTGTCAAATTCAGTTTTCTGTCTTGAAGAATCCTGCATTTGTCCCAAACTATGCAAACTTAGTGGTAGCAAGAAAGCTCCCTGGCAACACTGCATTGTGACTTTGACTTCGCAGTGTCTGCTTTACTCCTCAAACATGAAACCAGTTTTGTACTTTATCGGTAAAATTGTTGAGCCTGCACGTTTCCTAAAACTGATCTCCCAAAAGAAGAAACAGTACTTATTCTGTTATTGAAGTATCTTATTATGGCTGCCAACATAATAGCTAGACTTAGACAGCATTATCTGATATACTTGGAGACTAAACACTTCTGGAAATTATACTGCTTTATCTACACCCTATAAGTACACTGTTCCTCTGAACCTTTCACAAAAAACCACTCCTCAACAACACAGCCACAACAAGCTTTCTTCTCCTATGGTATCCTGGGGAGATATCACAGAAACTCCCTGAATTAGTAAAAAACTAGTATGCAACAACAATACGGAAGGTAAAGACATATCATTATGGCTCAGTGAAGAGATACATGAAGCAAAACCACTGTTCATGCATAGTATACAAAGCTTCGAAGCAGCATGTTATATAATTTTCTAAATAAATTTGTGGCATTTTATAGCAACTGTTAGTACCATGTGCCATAAACACACCTGGAGTTTTTCCACACGGATTATAAATGTTGATTTCAAGACAGAAAACAGAACTGCTCCTTTACCAACTGCAGTAATAAAGCTAACTTAAATATCAGGATAGATTGCCCTTTAAAATCATCTGCATCTATGGGCAATTCAGCTGGTATTTTCATTGCAACTGTCTGTGGTTCAGAACAAGAAGCTCAGTCAACATCCTGTTTCTCTTGCTTAGTAGCCCAGAGACGGGCATCACTAACACAGGCAAAAGAACAGGCGGATACATACAACTGCACCTAAGATCTTACAGTTGGAAGCTGAAGCACTCATTAGTCAAGTAGGTCTCAGAGCAGACAGCAGAAAAAGGTATTAAGAATTGTACAGGGAATATTAATATTTCTTAATATTAAGAATAATTAATATTTATAATTAAAGAACAACAGTGAGAAGATCAGCTGAGCCATTTGCTTCAGTGTTAGTTCCAACTATTAGAGAACAGAACTGTCAGAAAGATAGCAGCTCTGTGAGCCAACCGCACGATCTATACTATGAGCTCCTACAGAAAAATTGAACTTTTAAAACTTACTATTATTTTTAAAACAAAGACGACAACAAATCAGTGGCAATGTGGAGACTATATACGCTTCTAGCAACTTAACATGTTCCTAGCACAGTCTGATCAGAGACACAGGTCTTGTTTTTTTGTTTGTTGATTTTTTTTTATTTTTACTACAATACACTAGAAATTTAACTTTTGCTTTCATGGTATCTATGAAACCAGACTGCTGAATTTACAAGCCATCACATTTTTCTTGTTTGAAAATACCTCTTTTGCTGTGCACAATGTCAATAAGTTCCTTCAGATCATTATCATCTAGTACACTTCAGTGGATTATGCAAAGAAAATCATACATCTTCAAAGAGGTTCCAAGAGTTAATGATCAATTTGAGCAATCTGGCATCTACAGCACCAGGAAGAAAAGCAGGGCAGTGGTACAAATATTATTGTATGTTCACAGACCAGCCAGTAAGCCACTTCCATTTTGCAAACATGAAAAATTCTCTATTATGGTAGAGCTGAAGTCAAAAGTCTAAGTCATCGTGCTGATTTACATTGCCGTGAAAAAAAAGTTCTTAAATTGTGTTTTCATGCATTTCATGATTACCAGCAGGCTGATAAATAGAAGCGTCATTTCCTCTACATCATAAATGTGGGCTGAAGAACACCTTGTTACATCTAACACAGAAGATACTCAACTGCCTATTTCATCAGTAATTCATTTTTAAGGCACAATCAGGCCTCTATCAAAGTCTCCAAAGACTGAGGTGTCAAAACCATAATTTTGAGAGAAAAGAATACATAAAGGAACGAAAGATTGTGTGTGCTTCTAATTGCAAAAACATGTATCAATGTAGAGTAAGGTTAATGAATACAGTCAGCAAACAAACCATTGGTTTATATACAGCTAAGAGAGTAGAGTTATTAGCACAGCAGATGGTTATTACAGATGGGATGTAGAAATAGGCTAGAATTAAGGTTGAAAAAACAGTGCAAGAAGTGATTAAAAGTAAGGAAAACAAAACACTGAAGTCTGTTTATCAAAGCAGTAGTCTACACAAGTCTTGAGACAAAACAGACACTCAAACTATGACTTTTTTCCCCCCAATGTTAAAAGGGAATCTAATCAAAGTGGTGTGAACTCTAACAGGAATTCCAAGATGATGATAAAATATTTGAAACTAAAAGCAGCATCAAAACAACCTCTCTGGAGAAATAAGGCAAGGCGGAGCAAGAAAAGCAACTCCTTCATAATTGCACCTATTTAAGTTGCACCTATTTAAGGTACAAGTTTACCAGAGAGCAGAGTAATATATTATTCTTCTTCCAACGAATTTACCATTTTTATTTTAATATTTGCAATCATTTTTTGTAAGCAAGGCTCTTCCTGTAAGTGCAGGGACCTTGCTGACACAAAGAGGATAAGGAGAAGTAGCAAAACTCTACAAGGACAGATCTACACTGACAGAACAGGCCAGGCTCAAACTCTCATACTTGCTTTCTCTAAATTGGCCAGCCTAGAACCAGCTCTGTTCCAGAAGGTACAAGGCTCTTATAATGGCTATGTACTGTATCAGAATTAACGTATCACAAAAAATCTTCCTTCCTAAACTACATTGAGCTCTAACTATTCACAGGTTCTTATAAAAACAAAAGTGCGAGTTCTCCCAAGTGAAATATATCGTCCTTTTTTGAAGGTAGGTAGGTTTTGCTGTTGTTTTCATGGTTAAAAAAGCATGAAAAGAATCACTATAAACACACAAGTACCAGAAAACAGAAACTAATTATTAAAAAAATGTATATAACTATGGCAAAATATTGCCGTGAATTGCTTGATCATTAATCCTAAATATTTCTTCAGTGCTCTAGCATAAATCATTCCAGGTGTGCACATCAGGAATAAAAAAATACAACTTGGAATATGCATTGGTTTCCAGTAAGTTAAACAGTTAAAAAATATATACATATATTAAATTAAATAATAACCAAAGGGTGGATCCAGCTTGTTTTCCTTCATTTCTTACCTTTGTCTAGGAACTATGAAAAGTGCTCGTACTAGTTTTCTTCTGTTGGCTTTTGTATTCATATTCATGCAAAAATCCATTGCTGCCTATAAAGAGAAAAGTCAATACAATACTTCACCCTTAAAGCAGTGTTTTTTTATTTAAAGCAATATAGCATGCTTTTCAAAAGTATCTTTTACAGAACTATGCCTGTTACATGCAGCTGCTTTAAAAACAACCATACAGAAAAATCTTCATTTTTGTCTAGAACAGTTAGAAAACATGTCCAGTTACATAAATACAGACTGATTCTTTGGATCAACACAAGGAAGAGAGCAGATTTACATAGATGGGGAGTAATTTGTCAGGGAGTGATAGGAGGAAAAAAGGAAAAAGCCAAGTCTACTTCTAAAACAAACTAATACATAAAAAAACAGGCAAAACCAGTATCACATGGTATTGGGCAATGACTGAGAAAAAGAAAATATTTCCTCCAGGTTAAAAATGAATTCAGCTACTGCTAGACTCCAAAGCTTCAAATCTTTATTTCCCATCTATTTGATCTAGCATTATAGCTTTTAATAGTGGAAAAAAATGCAAACCATGACTATACCTTGTCTATGAGGTCTCTGTTGACGCAATTTGGAAGCTGCTGAAGAAAAGCATCTACTATAAGTTTTAAATGAGATCCAGTACTGGCTTCTTCATCCTCTTGTTCTAACAGAGTGAAATAAACAAGCAGCACACATCTTTAAGCTATGAAATACAATGCTTTACAATCACATTCCCCAAACAGCACATTTGTAATGTTTAGCTGTTAAATAGTCACCCACAGATTGAAAAAATAAGATAAAGATGAATACAAAATTTATTTTTTTAATGCAAAAAAATCCATTAGTTGTCTATGCCAACAAAAGTCAAAAGTACCACCTTTAAAACTTGTCTTCCTATTCATGAAGCTCCCTACCTCCTAGTTTATATACTGTCAGGAGCAACAACAAATACATACTCCTAGAAAACTATTGTAATTTCTTTAGGTGATAAAAGGAGGACCACAAGAAGGCCCAAACACGGGGGAAAATAATGGGGGGGACGACACGAACGACACCCCAAACATCTTAATGCAATTGTGGATTCTACTTTTTAATGTATGTTTGCCTTGCAGGAGAAATAGAATTTTTGATCAAAAACATCCATTAAGGCCATTCTTTCATCCAGTATGTTCTCGACATCTTTTCACTTGAGGCTGTTAAGAGCTAGAGGCCAACTTAATTCCTTCAGCTGTACAGAAACCAGAGTACAGAGCCGTAAAGCAGCAAGGATGGAGGGTTGATCACATAGCAATTGCAAGGCAAGTGACAACTTGTTTTTCAAGCAAATGCTTCTATGTAATTTACAACATAGGAAGCAGCCACAGTTACCTGTATCTACTGAACAGGTCAATACACTACTCAAGCAGAAGACTGCAGGACACCACCACTGAAATTCAGATTTTCTGACATCAACTATGAAGATCTCACCAGACCAATCCCCCTACAGTTACCCTCAAATTGCCAAACTTGTGGTATGCTTTAAAAAATTTCCAGATTTACTAAGTCCTAGAGAAGAGTTTAGTTTGCTCTATAGCACAACAAGCCAAAACAATGAATTACATAGAACACCAACACTTGGAAAGAACCCTTCCTTGGCTAAAGCGATACAAAAGAACACTGCTTCCTGAAAATGGACCATGATGAAGCTTGATTTTCTTTCAGTTTGAGAATGTTCAGCAGTAACAAGAATACCTATGAGGTATTTGAAAGGAAAGCAGAGACAGACAGACTTCAGAGGAGAATACAGTGGTGGAGGTGGAAACCACACAAGTAAAATACAAAATACACAACACGTGGTAAAGTCACTATGTCTTTACAGGCTACATGGCAAGATAAACCAGCATGGAAGACTCAAGTTCCTTTTTCAAGTTACTGAAAGGCAAAAGATGCTACACTGTAGGACTTTTTCTTGTTTTTGGAAACTGCGAGGGGCAGGGGTTGAGCTTAGGTAGAGAAATCCTAAGAAAGAATTGCTCCAAGGATCATTGCCAGCTACCCAATCTTGAAGGTGCTAGAAATTAAAGCAGATGACATAGCCTTCTCTCTTGCACAGGTAACTAGAAGTTGGAAGAACAAGAGAAGTGTTCATTAAGAAAGGAGAAAAAAAAAAAAAGAAAAGGAAGATGTTCCAGATGCTCAGACAAAAGTGGACCATGAAGTTTTAAATGCTTAATGGAATGCTGACTCTCTCATTACCTATATACTCAGAGTTCACCAGGATGCATGCAATAGCTCAAACCAGACAATTTTTACTAGCAAATCTTGGTTTAATGCATTTTTTTCCATTTAGATATGTACAGCCACACCTTCCTGTCCCCTTTTAATGTTCTTGTATCTTCCCCTTTTTCCATTACAGCAATTAGTTGTCTCACCTCAGTCTTCTACTCAAACTGACTCAATACTCTTGAAATAAATAAAAAAATAAGTCTTTGACAATTCAGTCACTTTTCAAGACAATGTTTCAAGAGGCCCTGCTATCACATTCAATTTCAACAGTTCCCAAATGTATCTCTTCTTTTACTGGTCCTCTCCTTCACTGGAGGGCTACAGATATTCTCACATTGTATTTTTTTCGCATCACAGTATGTGGATCTTTTCTAAGTGGAAAAGCTCTTTTGTGGTACCTGAAGCAGGTTTTGGACTTCAGACAGAAAATAAAGAATTTTAGAGGGACAGGAAATGAAATGGTCAGGGCTTCCGTCTCTAAGGCAAACAACGATTCCAAGTATGCAATTAATGCAAAAAAATTAGTTCATTTCTTGCTTTTCACTTTGATCCTCTTGAGTTCCAGTCTTTCATCATCACCACATTTTAAAACTGCATTACCTCTTTTTAAAAATTTACTACAAGTAGTAATGTATAACAAATACAGTTAGACTATCTGTAATAACCTCTCTGGGTGCAGATCAAATCATGCAGTATGATCACTGTAGAGACTGAAAGAAAAATTATTTTTTAAACACCTTTATATTTAACCAGAAATGCATGCAATCCTGCAGTTTTCAAGGAGTAGAACTGAGAAAGCATCAGAAGACACTAAGGACTTACTGAAGTTCTTCTGCAACGATTGGTGCCAAGCAATCTTCTACTTCAGCAACGATAGTTACTTGCCTTCCCATCTCTACAGACATGCTTCCTGAGAAAGCCCTGTCTCCCTTATTGTCAACATCTTTTTTTAATTTTTACAAAACTATAACCTTACAGAGGGTTCTCTCCTAGAAACTCCGCTCTGCCTGAAAGCTTCAGTCTGCTTTGTATAGTATCACCCAGACAGTGGAAATAACAGGAGTGCTTTTGTAATGCTAGTAGCTATTCCTCTGACATGAGTTTCTGTAATTAATTTGATCATGCAGGAGCCCTCACACTCAGATGGTACAAACCAATACTGTGAGCAAACTGTTGGCTGGATCCCCTTCTCTGTACAACACTTAGGCATAAGCATAATGTTAAACATCTTGTTGAATTAAAGATGCACTGAGGAATGTGTTCAGAATCTAGTCTCACTATTTCTTAATGAATATTTTTAGGTTTTTTTTTTTTTTTAAGTGCCTGCTTTTCTGATAGAAACTTTTCTAGCTCACTAAACAGTGTAGCAAAGTTAACAGGGTTGACTTAATACTCACTTCTACACGTCATCCCTGCTGCCGACCAACCCTAAAATAACTGGTGCTAGATATATATTAAAATCAGACTCCTCCTGCCCCTAGTACCCTTGATGGCTTCCACCCTGGCCGTTCCTTACTTAACACCTTTGTCTCCATTCACACAGCTTCATTTTTAACATTTTATCTTCTCTTAAAAACAACCTCAAAACTCACTTCTTTCAGCATGTTTTCCGTCACTATTTTCAGCGCCGGTGCTATCTGCTCCCTCTCTCTTCCCTGAGCATATTGAAAATAAGAAAATTAAGATTCACTCAAAGTTAACACAATAGAGAAACAAAATAAGTTAGCTGAATGCCTGGTAAACAAACCTCTTCAACTAACTGCATCAAGTTTCCTTTTACATGTCTTATCTTAAACTTAGTTGACTATAGACTCCAACATTTAGGTAAAAAGTGCAGAAACAGGCACTGCAATGCTGTGAAGGATGCTACACCAAGGCAGACCTGCTTTAAAAACACACACTTTGCAGAACTGTCTTGTCTGCCTTGTATTTGGAGAGAAAAGGCTGAAGAGAAGTGACAGGAGATGCAGATGTAACAAAAGATATGCAGTACCCACTGTCTGACTGGACTGTCTACCGTATTTATCCTATTTTCCCCTCTTTAATTTACTTATTCCCTCTGCCAATGAAATCCACATCCCCAGATTATCACAATAACTAAAGCTACTTTTCTTCATCTTGGACCTCAGGCTGGACGGGACTCTGAGCAACCTGATCTAGTTAAATATGTCCCTGCTCACTGGAGGTGAGCTGGGCTAGATGAGCTTTAAAGGTCCCTTCCAACCCAAACCATTCTATGATTCTTACGATCTAAGACCCTGCTATACCTCATGGCATCCTCCCTTTTTATACTAAAGGCCCATCTCAGCCTAGGAATACTCTGTTTTATGTTTGTAATAGTATCATAATACAGTGGGTTTCATTCTTTGCTGCCTTTGCACAAAACATTACTACTAACTTACCTCAAGTACAGATGCACAAAAATTCAGTACATAAGAAGAAAAGTTAAAGCTGTATTTTGCAGCTGAAGGACACCTAATTTTCCTAATTTCAAACCTAAGTGAATTTTACTGAAGAGAAAGGCTGAAAAAAATCTACCCATTCACTAGATGGAAATGTATCAGAACTTGAAGCAACACCTAAATTTAGAATTTTGTTAATTCTGTATATCTAGTGCTACCAACTAGGGGCGTTCAGAATTACACACACCAAAAAACCATCATTGTGTTTCTCTATAGGTTTCAAGTAAAGTAACACGTGCTGCTAATTTATAGCCTAGTTTTCTAGCAAAACAAGGATTTGGCTATCATATCTATTTTAATTTCCATCATTAATTTATGAAGCTACTTGTCAGCATCAAAGAAATTTGACAAAGGTACAGAATTTGCAAAGACACTAAGTTTTTACATGTTTCACATAAAATAAACTAATGAGCAAAGACAATCATGAAGCAATAGTTCTCCACTATGAAAAAGCCTACACTGTGAGCCAAATGACATTACCTTCACAAGGTAGAAAGTAAAAGGCTTTCTTTAAGGGCTGGCTATTTAAAGAGAAAAAATAAACCCCCTTCTGACCCATTTTAGATTAACCTTTCAGATGGGAGAATGTTTAATGCTCAGTCAATAGCTAGTTTAAAACCAGAAACTAGTATTGATGGTTAATATTTTATATTATGACAAAAGATGCATCACCTTTCCCTTACAATCAAAAGTACAATCGTCAATCCCTTCTGTGCTACTGTACATACTCAAACTGGCATTGCCTCCCAGTGAGCTAGAGCCATACAAAGACTACATCTTCCACTCCTGATCTCATCTCCTGTTATTCCTTCCTCACTTCTAGGGGATCTCACACTCTCATGTTATTTGGCTTTGTCTTTATATTTGGAATAATCTTCATCTTCCTATCAAGTTAAGGATCCCTTCAAAAAAAGACAAGAAGGAAATATCCATGTTCCTTTAGGTATCTATTGCTAAAGTATTTTTGACCTATCTAGCAGGCTATGACCAGTCCAGAATGAACTGCTCTTTTTCCTTTTGATTTCAAAAGAATGTCTACGTGTACCTCCCTTACAGAGGACTGAAACCAAGCTCTTCACTGTTTTGTTTGGGATCTCTGACCGGAGGTAACAACTCATTAACAGTGAACATCCTGCAATTAAAACTTAACATCTTAACCAGCTTAATGAGGGGAAAGGGAAAATCTATTCCAAAGAGGGTATGGCTTTTTCCAACCTGTCTGGGTAAAGAAAGGACAAACCTAAGGAAATATTACATAGAATTATCCTGACAGCTTTCTTTTCAGAAGGAGTCTGAACCAGTCTGACTCCAGAGCTAATTTCTTTGAATTTGTGAGGTTTCACAGACCATCATAGTCCCAGTATTAATTTCAGCTTAACTAACTTTAGTCCAATTTAAAGATCCATATGCCCTGACCCATCCCTGTTGTCAGCTGAAAGAGACTGGCACTTTGAGGAGTTGTTCAAGCTACTCAACACCCAAACCTGCAGATGCATGCACTAGTTTGGTTATATGGACCCATGCTTTAAACACCAATACACAGTCTTTGCCAGGGCCTGAACTTCTTTAACTTCTTTGCTTTGATATGAACTCCACAGCTTGAAGATTTGGCTTTAACTTCTTAGCTTTTAAAGCCCATTGCAGTTTCAAGCAAAAGGATGATTAGATTATAAATTCACTAGATCAGGTAGGATTTTCACTTTTAAGCCACAGAATCTCCAGCCAGTGGACTCTAGATGTGATCCCCCCCCCCCTTCTAGACACAGAACAAGTTTCCTCCTTCAGAAATTAAAGAAAAGAATCTACACTGGAAATCCAAAGCAGCAAAACTGATGTGTCTTAACAAACTGGGCTCAAAGAAAACACCTCACTTGCTCCTCTATGAATTTGGCTCTTAACACCTGATGTTGCTTTTCCCACTATTCAGTACCACTGAAAGAAAAACTTGTAATTCATAAGAAAAATTCTTAAGAAATATTTTGCTGCCGTTTCCCCTAGTAAAACTAACACAGCTAGATTTTCACAGGTGCCATTTGCCGTCCTTTATGCATAATTAGAGGTTAGAATTCTTAAATCCTACTATGTAAAGCCATAACATCAAAAGAAAACTCTTTAATGATTGAGACAGAAAGGCAGAGCTGAATCTTAGATTTCAAGACAAGTTAAAAAAACAGAAAATATATTATTAGTACCCTAAGCACATTTGGTGAGAAAATAATGCATTGCAGTCTATATACTTCTTTCTAGTCACTTTTCAGACAACTGCCTTCACATTTGATTATTTTTAAAAGCTATATGAAGGAATTTGTAACTTTCACTATGTAAAACTCCATATAATACTTTTCACTTGTATCAATGTCTTGTTACAAATGCATTTTTGACCATAATCCTAACAGTTTCTAGCTACTAGTTTCATAAATAGATCTCCCTGAAGTCACTCTGCCTACTGACTAAAACCTATCAAGGTCAAAAAAGCAATCAGGAAACAACAAAGAATTCCTAAACCCAATTCTTTTTACCTTGCTCATCAAGAAGCTTTTTTGTAAGATCTTCTGCCTCATCTCCACAGTCTAACTCCAGGGGATCATCATTAATATCCAGGTTCTCCAGCTCCAACTCCAAATCCTCACTCCCAGGTGCTTCCTTATTATCTTTGGCATCTTTTGAATCTATACAGAAGTTAAGCAGAAATTTTAAATTATTAAATATATGCAGTCATGATTAGAATACCGAAAGACTCATGTTGCTAAACCTATGTTTCTTTAGTGTCTTAGTCTTGTTAAAAGGAAATGGGGCTAAGAATATCCACTTCTTGAGGCTATACTATCTCATCTGTTAGGTCTCAGTGGTTTATTATCCTTCATATAGCTTTACCCATATGCCTGAAACCCCCAAACATTTACCTACACTGGGGTCTGTTAAGGATTGCCAACAGATTCCAGTGCTTTGGTTTGTTCTAAACTACACCTGGTACGTCTTCATTGGATGACATACATACATTCAAATGGAACAAGATACCCAGAAATGCAGCAATCTAAGTCCAAAAGTGCTTAAAATGGACTGCCAGGCCATCACATGGAAAATGCAAGCAAAAAAACCTGCATACTGGGAAGGTCAGATAGAGAAACAGTCCAAAACCCCAGTAAATTAATATCACAAACATTATTCAAAAAAAGAGCCAGATTCAAAGATATAATTTCTAATTTAATGTTTGCACTGCATATTCTTCATAGCTCACCTGATAACAAAACTGACAAAGCAAGGTAAACAGAAAGTGGTTTACATAGACCAAGAGTAAAAAAAAAAAAAAAAAAGGAACAAAAAGCAGAACAGGAGGAAGATACTGAAGAAATAATGTGCTATGTAGAAGGTCAAATAAAAATAATATTTTCCTTGAAAACAAATAATCTATGAATCTCTAGATGAAGATTCAGAAAGGAATAGCTAATATTTTTCTTGGACAACAACACTGGTCCAGCATAGAGCATTCTTCCAAGAGATTACTATCTACAACATTTTGCTATTCTTTCAGGCGTCCTTCAAGCCTCATCTGCAGGCTATGCTTCATAACAGAAATAATTTTCAAGGCAAATAACCTTATTAAAATATTTAAATTTTTCAAACAAAAATGTGACACAACTTCTAAAGAGTGCACATGTCATACAGAAATAGCAGAGTCACAGAACAGGCAAACTGTTTAGAATCACAGACAAAATTAGTCTGGAATGGACCTTGGTGAGGTCTCTAGTTCAACCTTCTGCTCAAAGTGGATGAGCACTGTATTCACACCAGATTTCTCAGGGATTTTTTCCATTTGTCTTGAAAAATCTCTTAAGACAGAGATTCCAGCCTCCCTAGGCAAGCTGCTCCACCACCTAATTGTCCTCACAGGGAAATTTCAGAATTTAGAAATCAGAAAGAAGGCCATGAGCTATAAAGTTGAAATTCCTTTAATGCTCAACACTGACCTACTACATGTGCATTAGAAAATCATGTAGCCTGTGTCTTTGCTGGCATTTCCTCAATACCAAAACACTGTTCTTATCCAAACATGCATCTTCTGTTACACTTTGAGCCAGTGATGGTGAATGTCATTTTTATCCCATTAAAGCTAAAGTCTACCAATGCCTGGTTGTGAACCTAGAGCTGCATCAGAAGTAAGGAACCATCCAAGCCTCTTAATCTACTGGAATTTTATAGCGAGACATTTAGCTACCATTAAAAATTTAGTGGAAAAAACAGAATGAACACTAACACGTTTCAAAGAAGGCAAACTTCTAGGTTTCTCACAGAAAAGTTAGTATTTACTCATATTGGTTAAACTGCAATTATTTTAAATTTAAAATTCTATCAATATTAAAGGGCATTTACGTTTTTTTCTTCCTTAAATACCATACCCAGATATAATCCCTACCCTACATAGTTTCTTCCCTAAAAATTCATCCAACCTGGTGTACTGTCCTGATCACCACAAATTATTTCATTAGAGACTCATTACTTCCATCAAATTTGCTTATCTGTTGGACAAGGTATGTTAAAAAACCACTCATCTAAGCATTCTACCTCTTGATTCATCTTTGCTGGAATCCTTGTTCTGGGAACATTTTTCATTATCTTTAAACAAAATTGCTGGCACAAAAGCCTTTAAGTCGATGAGATTCTCATAGAAGTTTCTAGCATCTTCATCTTCCCAGATACCCCCCTCCAGGTCATATTCTCCAGGCTTTCCTGGTGTGAAAATATCAATACCAGGTCCATGTTCTGCAAAAACAGTGAAACCATAAGAAAGTTACACAAATTCCTGATCTTCTAAAGGGAAGCACCTTTAAAAAAATACTTTTAGAGACATGTTAACCTATTTATTACTACCACTGTTTTCACTTAACTATTGCAACGTATACTTTAAAGTGCTTTTAACAACCCAATCTTAATAGTAGATATATCAGTAAGTTATCTTAAAATTGTAAATTTGACATTGATAGAAAACACAGACAGTATGAGAGTGAAAGTCAAAACAAGTAAAACCAAGCAGCATGTCATGTGGTATTAGAAAGGAAAGCTACAACAGACTTTAACCATGTTAGCGTAAAAAGTAATCGCTTTGAGTATGATGAACTGTACCCCACTATATTTTACGAATAGAGGTTTAAAAAGAATAATTTTTAATTTAGAGGGATTCAAGAAATAAAGCTTTTTTAACCTCAAGATCACTTCAGACAAAAAGTACACTCATGATTTCAACAACATCTCGAAATCTAAAATTTGAGATTAAGGCATTGAACAGCTCTGCCAGTTAAATGCTGCACTTCTCCACAGGAGGTCAGAGAGCCACCTAGTGATTTATCTGGCTTAACAGTATGTTCCTGCTCATAACATCATGACCCAAAATATATTGCAAACCCATTTTTTAACAATATCAGATTTTGAAACTCTAACATAAACAGTTATTTAACTATTAAAAAATGCATTCTATTAAATGGAAAGGATTAGGTTAAAAACATTTTTAATTTCCATTTATTCCTATATTACCTGAAACAAATCTAAAGAAGTATTACTTAAGTTACTGTAACTACACAGCACATACAATAGTTATCGTTACATGTTGCATTTAATTACTGTAATAAAAAAGCATGTATTATTCATTCAATGACATCTTTAAGGGGGAAATAAAAAGAAATCAACGGAAAGAACACATCAGTAGGAGGGTTTGGTTAGCTTTCCCACCACGTTCAAGCCAAGTCCAGCATTCTGTTTACTTGCTTTAGAAGATAGCCTACCCTCAGGTGTTGGTTTCTCTTGGGGAAGGTCAGGCATATTTTCATCCAAAAGATCAGCTAGAGATTGAGAATTTGCCAACAGCTTTTGATACGACATTGCAAATTCCTCATATTGCTTGTGTCGATCTTCACTCAGTTCTCCTTTGGAGTGAAGAATGCGCCTACAAAAATCAAAGTTAGAGTAAGACAACCTTTTTTTTTAAGATGTATTTGAGCTATGCTGAACCACTACCAACTCCTCTGAGCAAAGCTAACCTTCCCTTTGAGGGAACTGTGAGAATTCTACTTTAGACCACAATAGCAAAAATGTGAGCAACACTAATTTTTTCCAAACAACCACAGTGAATTACCGACTTCAATATCATTGAGGATAGTACAGTCACAGAAGCTTCAACTTCAATGTCCAAACAGAAAGCATAACTTATTTCTCTGCCATGATTATCCTGTAACAGTTCTGCACTATGAAAAGGCTTTTGTAGTAAATTATAACAGTCAACTTACATGAAAGCTGGATAAAAATTGCTTTGCATCTGTAACAATACATTTCCATGTTGTTCAAATGATTAAATAGGCAATCATCACCAGGAGGCTCAAAAACAAGTTGCATGTTACAACCAGCCCATTAATTTTCCAAACCAAGTTATTTCAAGCAGTTACATTTGTTTTTTCACTTGCTCTTTGTTTTCTTTTATGAAACTATCCATACTTATTTTAAATTCTCATTTTTAAAATTGAAACCTGTTGTCAAAAGCAACTTGCATTTGAAGGATCGTAATCACTGCTTACAAGTGCACAATAAAACAGTTTCAGGATTACACGCAGAACAGCACAACACAGTTTTCTTACCAAACTACAATTAAAGCCATCTTGGATTTTAGACAAAAAATATCAAGAACTTTCAGTAGTTTGAACCAAATATACAGAACAAGGTCATTTCTGCTAGTACAAAGCTTGCCACGTAAGACTGATGAAAGACTGTCATCCTTGATTTTGGGTTAACTAAGAATAAGCTGGTTGCTTATTAGCAATGTTCTAGTTTGTTCTCAACTAGGGCTCCTGAGAAGTGCATTTTCCCATCTGTGGCATGATCCACTCTGCATGAACAATTCTTAATATGGATGAGGCACAGTCAGTTCTTTACCAGTAAGGGACACTTTGGGCCAGCTGAGCTGTTTGGGGACCTACTACAGCAAACATACAAATGGACTCAGATCAAACATGGACTTTCAAAGGGAAGCTGACAGAAGGAGCTTGGCTAGAAAATTTCCAGTTTGTTTTATAGTAACTTGAATAATGCTAGTAACATTGGACTAACTAGCTGTAACCACCAATGAAGCACTCTGCACTGAGATGAAAGCATCAGAAGATAAAGTTTGAAATAAGGTGCAAATGCCATAGTTCCTAAAGCAGGTTGTATCATTACATTATCATTAGGCTTTTCTTAAGCAATAAGTATACAACCACACTCTTGCCAAAAGACCCAAACATTTTATGACATAAAAATTCCCAAACAGTTTAAGCAATGCAAATTGAGGGATATCAGTCTTGGCCTTTTTCAGTTCCAGTTTAATTGTAAAACAAAAGCCATCTTTGTACACAACACATTGACAGGGTGAGCAGCAAAATCCCTTATACCTGCTCAGAAGCAAAACTTGACATAGATGTCTTGCTAGAGGGCAAGCAGCAGTAACACTAGTGAAAGTTCTATTTCTTGACTCTCTTACAAAAACACACCTATGTAACATGTATTACCTGCCCCTGCAAAGTAGAGCAGGAAAAATTAACAGATGAAATAACTACTAACAATTTCTAAAGTGCAGTAGTTCAGTTTGGATTCAGTAAACATGTTAAGTGCCAATTCATGGAGCCTTGGAGCTTGCCATGGAGACAGCTATCCATTAGGTACACATTTTAAGTTTAGAATACACCAACAGCCTCAAACACAAGCACTGGAGCTCTGTGCTATTATTAAAAACCAAAAAAGCAAAGTGTTGTAACAACAGTACAACAGTTTCAGTTCTCAGTTTCAGTTCCCAATAGACAAGTGTTAACAAATTCAAGCAAGCTAAAGCATATTAAACAAACTTTAAGAAGCACCATTCATTTTTTAATACAATTAAAAGTACAGCATACAGTACTTATCTTACTTTATGTCACTTCAGAATTTCATGAAGTGCCACAACACAAGTTCAGCAGATCTTAAAAACATCCTTAATTTAGACAAAAGAAGGTTCTTCCATATCTAACACTCATTTTTGAAAACTCACACTAAAATTTGGGAATTGAGATTTTGCTGTGCCCTTAGCTGTGCAACCGAACAACCATCAGGTTCTACTGTCAAAGCATAACTCAAGGTAGTTTTCTTAATTATCTACTTGCATAAACCCTTGTGTGTAATAATGCTTTAATTTTATCTAAATGATTCAGCAGGTAACACAATATTAAAGCACCGTTAAGGTTAGCATATTAATTCTCAATTAACTCAACCAATCTGTACAGCTTGAGTTATTTCACTGTCACTCTCCTGACACACATAAATTCAAGAGGTATTTACCTGACAAAATATCGTAACCTAAACATATGACACTGTTGATGCACAAGAGGCAACAGTTTGCTCCCTGTTCACTTCATTGGTTCTGGAATACCAGCGGGAATAAAAGCTGTTGCTATCAGCAAAATGGATCAGGTTTCAAATACGCAGAGGACTGGTTTTTTCCAACAGGATTATTGCTTTTTTTGAAACAAACAAACAAGCAAACAAAACCCAAAACACCCCTAAAAGCAAGCAACCAACCACACAGTCACTTTCCCCAAATTCACAGTTTAGGAAGATTTCTGTAGTATTCACAGACTTCTTACTGGGCAAGTTTCTGTCTCTGACCTCATGCCTTGCACTTCCATAGCACGCAAATGCCAAGCATCTCTCTGTTACAGACATGTTGTAAGCAAATAAAATTAGGCAGGAAATTTTTTTATGTCTTGTTTCTTTAACAGAACTTATTTCCCAACTTTTATTAAGCTGTTAAAATAAACACCTTAAAGTTCAGATAGAGATAAATAATAGAATTATCTTAATCCAGTGATAAATGCTAGCTCTTCACACTCCTTCCCCAAAACAAAGCTTTGCACCCAAGTTCATAGGGATAGTTCAAATAATAAGGTACATAAAGAGGTCTTTAGTCTGTTCTACTCAAAGCAGGCTCAATGATGACATCAGACCAGACTGCTCAGGGCTCTATCCAGTCATTTTTATCCAGTTGTGCAAGTAAACATTCAAGTATATTTCCTCTCCCACACCATTTAAGTTCTTTCTTCTTCATGGGTTCTTAACATTCTTCGTATCTCTTGAAAATTTTTTTCACTTTATTTCCTATCACACAGACTTTGTAACACTCACTTATTGAAATGCCAGCCAGAACCAATGAACCCAGAACTAATTATAATTGTGAAAGTATAAAAGTTTATACTTGCTAACTTTTAAAAAACAACAACTAAGTCAGTAACATACTTCAAAGTAATAAGGTACTTTTAGAAATAATAGTAGCTCAGAAGTCAGTTTATGGTCCTGTGAAATTCAACACTTAGCTGAGACCAGATAGGACTGCAGCGCAATAGCCATCAGCACAATGGATCCAAGTTTAAAGCCCTGGTTCAGGAACATCAAATTTTAATGTATTCCAAGCATACATTTGGCTCTGGACTGATGTTCAGTCTTTTAATTGAAACTTGTGTCTACATACAGTAACACATTCATTTCTATCTGCCTAGAATGTTTCCAAAAGGATTTAAGAATGTGTTTTAAGACCAGCAGTTGGATTTAGGCTGGCTCCAATAATGACAATTCAGGATGCTTGAAAGAAAAGCAAACTATTATTAAACAATGTGATCATGGTAGAAATTAAATTATTCAGATCTCAAAGGTGTGTATATTCATACTCTTCAATGTTAGTATTTCATATAGACACTTAAGAGCATTTGAATCAAATTGTCTATACCCTCCAACATTTTTATATATAAAGTTTGCCCACATTAAACCGTAAGGGATACCTTGTTAATCTAACCTGATTTTTCCTACATACTGGTACACTAAAAAAAGTAAATAAGCCAAAGCCATTGTGGCATATGCTCCATTAGATACATGTGGGTGGAAAGGGAGAAATCAGATTGTGCCAACTGGAAAAGGACAGTACCAGCTGGGAAAGAAGCATTACTCTCAAGTTGCTAAGGGAGCATCACCAAATAGAGTTAAGAGAATTAAAGCTAAAGGTCAACCACCATTTTCTTTAAAGCTATTCAAAGAGTCTGTTTGGTTTTTGCTTTTTAAGTATCCAGAGCAAATTTAGAACTTTTTTTAGATACATTGCAGAATACATTTATCTTCCACACACTGCTAACAGACTTTGTTTACAAATACTGCAACAAATCTAGGCATTTCATGAATAAACTATTTTTTTCTCCATAAATAAAAAGCAACATTCAAGTGTCACCTGTTTTGTCTTTCAATATTTTGTAGCTCCCTGTGGTCCCTTTTCAGGTGTTTGGTCAAAGACGTAAAGTATTCCTTCAACAAATTCTGGAAGGGCTGTTGTTTCTCTGGGCTAATTATTTCACTAGGAGGAAAGCTCAAGTTAAACTTCTCTGCAACAGTTTTTACTCTCCTTGGTACCAAACCAGCAATGTCATCTCCACAGTGCCGACAAAAGCTGATAACCACAGAAACGTGAGTGTGGGATTCTCGATCAGCATTAATAATATTTTTAAGCTGCTCATAGATTAAAGACAGACCTTCCTTGTCAGTGAAAATCCCAACTATTGTCAACTCTGCAATGAAACGCAAATCAGTTCTTAACTTGGTAATGTTGGGAGTCTTCTCTTCTTTCCTTGCTTCAAAATGTTTTTTCCAAGCCTGAAGTAATGAAGGAGCAAAATCAGCATAACGCTGGTGAAAGAGGGAACACAAGTGCACAGCGCAGTTCACATCCGATATTTTCAGCTTGGCTTCCACAATAGAAGCTACTGCTTCTGCAATGTATTTGCTTAAATTCAGGCTATTAAAGTCATGGGACAAGGAGTCCCTTTGTTGCTCTGTAATGGTTTTTAGCTTCTTAACAAAAGCTGTGTTCTTCTTCAGACTGGAATCCAGTCTGCTGAAGAAGTTTTCCTCAGGGCGATTGTCTGGTGCATTCTGGTTTTTGCTGCGAAGCTCTTTTCTTGCCTGATGGCGCTCCCAAGCCTCCTGATGGAGCTGATGTGCTTCCTCTTTTTCTCTAAGAGAAATAAAAATTAGTCATTTTTGTTACAGGACCTTACTTTCAGGTTAACAGTTCAAAGGAAAAAAAAGCCATAGTTGGAAACCCTCCAGTAGTTCTTAACACAATTTCCCCTTAATATTCTATTTTTAAATATTTAACAAGTTAATCCTAGAAAGCTAAAGCATCTGCTTCATAAACTCTGTTTAACTGCAAAAGGCAAGTACTACTTGTTACAAAATGAAATGTCTCAAATATTTCTATGCAGAACATACTAATCCCAACAGACTTAGAAATACAAACATAAAACTCCGTTTACTCCAGACAGAGATGAAGCTCCTACAGAAGAGGACAACAACCTTTCAACAAGTTACTGTATTACACAATTAAGGGAAATCTCTTATTCCTTAAGTTACACAGAAAATTTTAAATAGGTGAAACCCATCTGTCCCAGCTAGAATTTGGCTATGATGTTGCCTCAGTCTTAGAAAGTGACATATTTCAAACACAAGAATGTCTGGAATCTTGGCTTTACTGGTCTAAAGATGCTATCTGCAACACAGTAGTACCTTTTGGTAACATACTACGAAACACTGTCTCAGTAATACCACATACTAAACTTCCAGGTTACATTTCCTGTTTGCCATCCAGGTATCAATTCTCTATGATTGATTAAAAGAAATTACAGCCATCCCTCACAGTAGATTTGCTCTCATTACAGTCTGTGGACCTGTTAGAGCTTGTATTCCCAATTTTATGACATTAACACTTCTCCATCTTAAAAGAAACTGTGCTGCTTTATTCCAGCATAGCTCTGCATTACATGGTCATCACATGGAGAACACTACCAAAACCCCGTATTAGAGACTAATGTTAACAGAGGTTAGAGTTGAAAACTCAAAACTATGCAGAAGTCATAAAGCATACTCATACTCAGCTAGCCACGTAAAATTTAGAACACTACCTACAACTTACTATAAGTAACTCAAACAGTTCATCTTTTATAATTCTGCCCACAATCCTGATAGCAGGACTACAGCATTTGGCACAATTAAACCATTAACAGACAACTTACTTCAGTTGAGCAGCTGCTTCTTCTTGCTTCTTCTTCTCTTCCTCCTCTTGTTTCTTTTTCTCCTCTTCTTCAAGCTTCTTTTTTTCTTCTTCTTCTTTCTTCTTTTGCTCTTCTTCTGCCTTTACTTTATCCTCCTCTTTTTTCTTCCGCTCCTTGTCTTCCTTTTTTCTTTTATCCTCTTCCAGTTTTTTCTTTTTATCTTCAGGAACCTTTAAAGTCTCTCTTTTCATGCCAACCTTGACATCTTCTTTTGGCTTCTCCCTGGTGCTCACTGGTCGCCTTTCACTAAATTCTTTTTCTTTATTATTTAACGGAGATTCTTTTTCTTCCATATTTGCTGGCTTTTTGCGCTCAGCTGGCATTGTGTTACCCAGGCAAGTCTGCAGAATCACAGGAAAATAAGTACTTTTAACTTGTTGTTGATATATTGGTCACTTTCACAGCCCACCCGTACTCACTTAGTTCTTAACTAAGATAACTCCCAAATGCCTGACTCAGAATAAAATACAGGTTTAAGGTAAGTTTTCTTGAACTAAGGAATGGACCTAACGACAGGTAAAAACTAATCATTTTGTTAAAGTGTTACACTGCAAAGTTGTCTCCAGCATGAATTGTGAAGTAAAAGCATTTGAAGTTTCTACAACCTGAGGAACAGAAGATCTTGGAACATAAACAGAAGTCCATCTAAAAAAAAAATCCACAACTGATGAAAGCAAAGTACCCCCAACTTAAATATTTATCAGCATGCACCTGTGCCTCACTGACCTTTCTACACATCTCCTAAGAGTAGTCCCCCCTCCGTTACCTCTGCTTAGGATCATAGGATAATGCAGGTTAGACAAGACCTCAAGTGGTTCAACCTCCTGGTCAAAGCAGGGTCAGCTATGAGGTCAGACAAGATTGCTCTAGGCTCCAGTCTTGAAAACTGCCAAGGAGGGAGACTGCACAACATCTCCAGCCGACCTGCTCCAATGCCAATGCGACACTGCCCTCACTGTGAAAAGCATTGTCTTGCTCCCCTCTTTCCTCACCCTTCCCAAAATCTCCCGAGTCATCTCAAGCACTCTTCCACACAGCACAAGTACCAGCCGGAAGAGCATGCTGTGCTAAGATGTACACACAAACCTCCCTGCCAGCAGGACAAATGGAAAAAATAGTAGAAAGGCTACAATTATCAAGAGTTATTAAAGGCTCCAGTTTGCATCTCTTCCTACTGAACCAATGCTTTTCTGGGGACTTGTAGGAGGTTTGGCATCTTTAGGGTTTCTAGCCCTCTAAGCTTTAGTTTCATTTGGCTAAGGATACAAAAAGTAACATATATTGAACAAGAAAGGGTAGAATCACAGAATAATTTAGATCAGAAGGAAACCATGGAGGTCACCTAGTTCAATCCCTTCCTCAAAGCAGGTCCAACCACATCAGGGACTTGGCTAGCTAAGTTTTGAATATCTCCAAGGTCAGAGATGCAATGGCCCCCTCTGTGCCCCTGTTCCAGTACCTGAATAACCACACTGTGAAAAAGTTTTTCCTAATACCACCCTGGAATTTGCCGTGCCCCATCTTGTGCCCGTTTCTTTTCATCCTATCCATATACAGCTTTGAGAAGAACCCAGCTCCATCTTCTCTATACTGCCCTGTTAGGTTGCTGTAGACAGTAATAAGACTTCCCCCCTCTTCTTACAGATTAAGAAACCGAGCTCTCTCAGTCTCTCTTCAGATACCATGTCCCCTAGCCTCCTAATGGTCTTCGTGGCCCTCCAGTGGACTTGCTCCAGCATGTCAATTCCTTTCTTGGAACAGAGAATCCACATCTGGATATGGTGTCCAGATGCAGTTTTGTAAGTACCAAATAAAGGGGAAGACTCACCTTCCTCAACCTGCTGGGTAACTGTTGCTACTACAGTCTAGAATGCAGCTGGCCTTAATGCAAGGGCATTCTGCTGACTCAGGTCCAGGGTCAGATAGGGCCAGACAGGACTGAAAGAGGCAGTTAGAACCACCTAAGCCTTATTTACTTCAGGCTAAATTAATTTCTTAAAAAATAATTTTCACATATTTATATGCTTCAAGTTAAACACATATATAGGTGGGACTGATGGGACACGATTGCACTGGATACCTCCTAAAGAACCATCACTTAGTTTCTATTAGTAACACCTGTTTGATTCCCAATTGTCACCCTTACTTTTGCCTTTCTGACATTTTACTCAGACTGGATGATGAAAATATGCTAGATTGTTAAGCAGATGCAGGAAATAAGTCAAAGTGGATAATGAGACACTTGCATTCCAATCTAATGCGGTGCACTTCTAGTATTACTTTTAACTATTTTGAAAGATATTTAAAAATAACACATCACACTAATGAAAATCTCTGTTTCTAAGTATTCCACATTACCTCCCCCACCTCCCAAACAATAAAACGACAGATTCATATACTGACGATCCCATACGGAACACTGCATTACAATTTAAGATGCTTGTCCAGGTCTTCTGGAAAAAAAAATTGTTTGCAAAAATTCACAGTATATTCAGATATGGGCAGTGACAGCTTACTAATGGAGGACCTATTCAGGACTTGGCCTCTTTGATAGCAACTGGCAACAGCACTGATGAAGAAATGTTTCTGACGCCGATTTATGGAAGTGAGACGAATCAAATCAGCATTGCTTAAACAAGTACTATCAAATTTGGCTCCCTAATGCATGTCTACAACTAAAAGGTTTCACAGCTCAACATCTCAGAACTACCTGGATTTCAAAACCACTGATCTATATCATCTTAAAACAGTTTTATTATGAAATCAGTACTTAACAAAGAGGGTGGGGTGGGGTAATCCACAAAACCCAAACAAATAAGCAGCCCCTCAAGCCCCTTCATTTTAAAGGTCTGAACTAATTTTTCTATCTCTGTAGGCCAGTTAAGTGGGACCTGTTCCTCACAGATTCATCTGGGAGATACAAATCCTCTACATGTTCTGTTTCAAATTCAACAATAACTATTTATTAATCTTTTCTCACTACAAATCCACTCTGGGAATTCCATCAGTTTGAGACAGCTAACCTATCTCTCCCACCATTTTTAACAAAATGGGTTTGAAAGGGAAGCTTTTAGCATTTAAAACCACTGTAGTACCTTACTAGTAAGATTAGGTCTGTTAGAACATTGTGTAAGACTCTCCATTAATTGTATTAAAATGTTTTTCACCAATAAGTCTATTAAACAAAATAAAAAAATAGAGTAACACTCTTTTTTTTTAAAAAAGTGTTAGATTGTGAGAGATAATAAATTGGGAGCTAAGTTTAAAAGGAAAACATTGGGTTGTTTGAGTAAAGAAATGCTGGAAAAGCATGTCACAATTCTAATACTCCAGCTTTTATCTTTGTCCCCCACCTGCTGTTAGTAGGGTAATTCAATTACAATTTGGAAAAACAGACAAACAAAATATCCAGCTACACATGTAACTTTTAGCACAGTCACTTACCAAAATCATTACAGTACTCAAACTCTTATTAAATTTAGAAACTCAGAATTCTGTTTTAAAGATATATCTGACATTTGCTTGTATAAAAGCAAAATAGAGAAGATGGGATAAAAAGAAAAGAGATGGAGCATAATCAGGTACATCGTGATTTTGACCACAAGACAGTATTATCTGCTTTTTCCCCCATGAACACCGGTGACCAAAAAACCCCCCAGCAATCTAGTTTATAATAGATTTCTGTCCTGCATCACAGAATACATATGTTACAATACTCCTCACCACCTGCTACACATATACCTCATCACACAAACCCTTCTGATCGCACTGCCAGCTCATTTATGTCTACCAACCACTGATGGCAGGAGGCAGGCAGTGCGGTTGCTGCCTCCAAGCTATACACAGACTGATTCACCGGTCAGCACACAAGTGTCAGCTAACAGCACAGACAAAACCAGAACTGTCCACTGAGCATATGCTATCACCCTTCCCTCAGTAAGAATGTTAATTTAGACTTTGTTACTTTTCCTCAGCTGCCAGTTATCACAAGATCCCTAGAATGTTTATACCTTCAAAACATCTGCCTAATTTGACTGAAACTGGCTGAAAGGTTCAAAAGTTGTGGAAAGTGGAGAAAAATGGAAACAGGCAGCAGGCTCACCTGGGTCTCATTTCCCTAGGAAATAAGGCTGAAGATACAGAGTTTGGTCCAGATTAAGGGAATGATAAGGAAACATGAAGAGAAACTTAATCACTAAGAGAACTTCTATTTAATACCTAATGTTTATGTGAATGTACTGATGAAAAGGCATGACAATGACATGAACTTCATAAGCCAACAGATAGGAAGAACCAGCGCTCACAGCTGAAAATTAGAGAGGATGGAGAAGATGGATACAAGACAAGTGTCCATATGCTTTTGGACTCTTGACAGTCCATTTCTGTAGTGACATTTAGATGCTTTAACACTCTATCTTCTTAGTTTCATCACTTACAGATGCTATTTTTCCAAGGAAAACTATTTCTCTTCGTTTTTCCACTATTTGACCTACCTTAACTCATTCTTAATTAAGAAATTTTTTACTGTACCTGAATTTCTACATAGTTTTTTTCATACCAATCCTGGAATTTGAAAAACTGATGGGATTCAGTTCACGATACTCTAGGCTTAGAAACTTAAGAAATAGGTCTTGAAATACGCAAGCAACATTTAAGAAAAAACACCTATTTACTCTCTAGGAAACCAAAGATTCATACAAGGTATTCAGCATCATTAATCTAGTCACCATTGAGAATGAAAGGATAAACATCAACACCTTGGTCTGATATGCTTAAATCCTCTCAAATCAATAAAACCAGCCTATTGTCACAGACTGAAGTACCATGAACCAGAATCTTAATCCTTGCAAACACAAGCGTGGCGGGGGGGGGAATATGGCTTTACTAAACTAAGCATATTTAGATTTTTCACATGCTCTTTTACTGCTACTGGAAATTAAACTGATCCCATAACATTCCTTTATGCAGCTACTGTATTACCAAAGAGATAAGGGAGACAAAGAGCGCAGGCAAGATGTCCCACTTCTGACCAGCTGAAAAAACCTCAAAGAGCGTTACAAATCAGAGCACCAACAAATTAAAAGTTCCACGAATTGAAATGCAATTAAGGTTTCTCTTAAAATAAGGGAAGGAACATAAGAAAAACACCACGGTCAATCAGAAGAAAGTAAACTTAGCCACAAGTTTTGAAAGATGAGACACACTGCAAGACAGGAAATTATAGCGCAAAGCAGCCCCCCCTACACAGCGGCAGGGAAGGCAGGCCTGCCTAACCCGCCGGGCAGTTTTACTTTCGATTCCATACCTCCCGGAGAAAGTGTTTTGCCGTCAGACCCGCAGGCACACGCTTTTCACCGGGAAAAAGCGGTCTACGGACGAGTCGCTAAACATGCGGGGCGAAAGACTTCCCAGCTAAGAGCCCTCCCCGCTTCCTCCGGGACGCCCCTACACATGTCAATCCACGTACGCAGGCTCTCCAACAACCCAGCCGCCTTCTCGGGCTCTGCCTTCCCCGCTCGCACCCGCCAGCCCCCGAAAAAAACCCAACACCCCCCTGCCCCTCTCCCTGCCCCCGCCCCCCCCGTGCCCTGCAGGCTCCCTCACCCTAGCCCTGCCTTCTTCTTCCTTCCTCACCCTCACGGCCCCCGCTGCCCCGGGACGCCTCAGCCCCGGGGAACCCCCC